ATCCGGGAAACGGGCCTAGCATAGTATGCCCTAAGACAAGTTAATTTGAACACATTACAGTTTGGTTGCCAAGGTAAAATAGGAGGTTGTTAGGTGCTTACTTGGCAGTTACAATTTTAAGAAGATTTTATTGCTATCTATTTGTTAGTATGACAATTTAGCATTGATATTTGTTGTCTGTGATGTTCTTTGTCGTAGATTTTTATTGATTTTATGTATTGACACAATGCGCATACACCAGATGTGGTTTTTGTCAATCATTGTAAATCCATACAATATTATTAAACCTAATTTTTTTTTTTCGCTGGCTGTACTAGGCCTTTTTCCAGTTCTGGGTTGCAGCTGGAAGGGCTTCCGCTGTGTAAAACAAAAAATTTGCCAGAGTGGTTGCTGGTGCATTCCACTGCGGCGACCCCTGATAAATCAGGAATTAAACCGAAGGAAACTGAATGAATTTATTAGGCCTGTCTTGGTTTAAATAAATATGAATGGATAAATAAATCTACAAGTATAGGTGGCAGCTAGACCCGTGTTAATGGGTGGTTCATTGAATCATTCATTCAAATGAATGAATGATTCATTTACATTCAAGGAAAGGCACTCTTGCTTGTGTGATATTAATGAACCATTTCATAACTTATAAGCATGAAAAATGATTGCTTTTATACCTCATAGAGGGGCATTCTTATACACTTTTTACAGCAAATGCTTTTGGACTCTCAAGAGTTGTTTTGTTCTTTTTTTTTTAAGTGAGTGAAAAAAAAACAAGCTTTCATATTATTAAAATACAATTTAAGTGTCTCAAAACCAAATGACCTTTCACCTCTGGTCTCCAGATATGCCTCAGGTCTTTCCTGTAGTGTAAATCTGTAGGATTTTTTAATTCTGTTTGGGTGTGAGACTGTTGTTGCGTGATTGACCTCACCCCTTATAACAGATCTTGTGTCTGCACGCAAGTATGCGCTAGTAAGAGTTAGTAATTGTAATTTGTTTGGTCCGGGATCAAAATCAGAGAAGTGTCGAACCGATCTTGAATTGTATTTCTGGTAATCTGTCATAATCTGCTATGTTCTACTGCAAATTGCAGTACAGAGTATGGACATACCAATGGGCGTGCCATTGCCACACCGTAGCAATGGGTGTGTAAATGCGAATGTTCAGCTCACTTGACTGGAGCTTGAGAAAACACCCACACCCAGTGTTCACACAGGCACTTGCTATCTTTTACCTGCAGGGCTGGCAGGAGTCGCTGCGTGTTGCGTTTTACATGTTTTGACAGGTTTCAGACTTGGCTACACCCAGCTAGGTGTGTCATGACGACATTAATAAAGTTATATGGAAAGCTTTTTTTGAAGTTGTGACATTTATAAATGACGTGCTGTATTTTAGATTGATCTTTATGTGTAATCATGTATTTGTAAGAATATGTTTAATGTGTAGAAATTGTTTTTAGGGTGACTTTTTAACTTTTTCAAGGGTCTAAAAAACTGAACATTGTTTTTTTTTTTTTTTTTTTGATAATTATGAAACATTTGTTTGACCCTGGATCATAAAATCTAATGTTGCACAGATATATTTTTGGTAGTAGCCAAAAATACATTGCATGGGTCAAAATTATAGATAACGTTTTGGACAAAATCATAATTTTGTATTACCTAAAAAGTTCCTTGTTTCAAGATGTTTTGTAAATTTCCTGCAATAAATATATCAAAACGTAATTTTTCTATACATGTTTCATAGGAAATTGTCTCAATATTTATTTATTTAATAATTAAAGATTTAAGATTTTGGATATGACTATTTTACGACCAAATATTGTCCTTTCATAACAATTCATACATCAAAGGAAAGCTTATAAATCACAGATGTAAAAATGACACCTATGGACAAAGCCATGTGTATTATGTACATTACCCCTGCAAATCAAGTTGTAAATTTTAATAAAAACTATTGAATTAATATCTAAAAACTCTATTTCAGTATTGAAAAAGCAAGCCACGATATAATAATGGCATGTTTTGGCATAGACAAACGCCCCCCAAGCGTTGCAAACCATCAAACATCTGTTTTGGTGCAGTTTAGAGACAATTCTCACAACAGAACTGTTCTTAGCACTGCAGCCATGTTAGCGTGTGTTCTTTGCCTCTTCGAGTGTCGACATGTAAGGCATCCGAAATATGTGTTCGTTCCGTGCTCAAAAAAAACTCTGTACAGTGTGACACATGTACACGGACGATTGATATTTTTACAGTCTGTCTAAAATCTCTCTTTTGTTTTAATATGTTGTTTGCAAGGCTGTGGTCAGGCATTCCTGCCAGTCAGGAAATGTCAAGCCTTTCATTTGTGTGCATTTTGAGAAGTAAATTGCATTGAATCTATCCAAACCACTTCCCTGTGCATTTAGGTGCTTGGAGAATACATAATAATAATTTATACAGAATATATGTGTTGTATTTGTTTTCGAATGTTTTGTTAGTACTCATAGTCTGCTCTTATGAAACAATCAGGTTTGTATTCCCAGTGAAATAACACTGAACACTCCCACCTCTTTTAGAAATATAAGCAGAATAGAACAGCTGTGTGTTTTGTGTTGTGCTCTATTGTTGGTTATATTAGAAATATTGTTTATTTAACTGTACCTGAACCATTGAATTTGAGAGAGAGAGAAAGCTCTGGAAAAAGTGTTCTCCCTCTCTCTCTGCATACAGTTAAAGTCACAATTATTAGCCCCCCTTTAAATTTTTTTTTTTTTTAAACATATTTCCCGAATGATGTCTAACAGGGCAAGGAAATGTTCACAGGATGTCTAATAATATTTTTTCTTCTTGACAAAGTCTTATTTGTTTTATTTCCGCCAGAATAAAAGCAGTTTTTAATTTTTTAAACACCATTTTAAGGTCAAAATTATCAGCCCCTTTAAGCTATATATAGTTTTTGATAGTCTACAGAACAAACCATCATTGTACAATAACTTACCCAATTACCCTTACCTGCCTAGTTATCTTAATTAACTTAGTTAAGCCTTTAAATGTCACTTTAAACTGTATAGAAGTGTCTTGAAAAATATCTAGTCAATTATTATTTATCATGGCACAAAAAAAATAAATCCGTTATTAGAGTTATTAAAACTATTATGTTTAGAAATTTGTTAAAGTCTTCTCCATTAAACAGAAATTGGGAAAAAAAAAAACAGCGGGGTAATAATTCGGGGGGTGGGGGGGGTAATAATTGTATATGTAAAATGTGTAAATAACACAATTATATTTTAATTTAATCATTATTTTAGAAAAAAAATTCATCATTTGATCAGTTATATGGAATTGGTGTGCTATTAAAATAAGCAGTTGATGGCAGTGGTGAGGTCACATAAGGGCCAGGGTGGCACTAGCCTGCTCAAACTGAAGGCTGGCCCACCCAGACAGAAGTATCTTGATTAAAGAAAATCTTAAATAGAAAGCATATAATTAATGTTGAGGGAATTATAAATTAAATTTAATGTTGACAAGTGACGCAGTGGTGCAGTAGGTAGTGCTGTCGCCTCACAGCAAAAAGGTCGCTGGATCGCTGGTTCGATCCTCGGCTCAGTTGGCGTTTCTGTGTGGAGTTTGCATGTTCTCCCTGCGTTCGTGTCTCCCCCACAGTCCAAAGATGTGGTACAGGTGAATTGGGTAGACTAAATTGTCCGTAATGTATGAGTGTTTGTGTGAATGTGTGTGTGGATGTTTCCCAGAGATGGGTTGCGGCTGGATGGGCATGTGCTGCGTAAAAATGTGCTGGATAGGTTGGCAGTGCATTCTGCTGTGGCGACCCCGGATTAATAAAGGAACTAAGCCGACAAGAGAATGAATAAATTAATGAATTTAATGTTGACAATTGACATCGTCTTTGAGTCATTGTTTGTAAATCAAATTTAAACTTCCCCTCCACTGCACGAACATGAAAAGTCCAAAATACAAAATTGCTGTTGCTTTTATTTACTCAAAGATATCAGCTCACACTTTATTCAATTAATTACTGCATTATTAGCACTGACAGATATAAGAAAGTTGTTTTTATACACTTTGTTTAAGAGGCACTGCAGGTCCACCCTATTTCACCAAAGTCCACCAACTTTAAAATTTCAGGCCTCGCCCGAGGTAGGTAGCTGTGTTTTTTGGGGGATTAGTCATAGGTGGTCACTTTATTTGTAAATGGCTATGCATTCATAAAGGCACAAAGCATACATTTGTGGAAGTGAAGATGTAATGGAGACAAATAGTGATCAAAATTATCTACTTCAGTTGGTGAAGGTGTATACAAGACGCAACTTGAGCAAGCGTAATATATTTTTGTTTTCATACCTTCCTCCTTAACAGAGATTTGCACAAGGCACAGAAATTATTTGATTTATGTCTGTTCTATTGACACGTGTTTATGGGGGTCCAGTATAAATGGAATTTTCAAGACCCAACTGGATGATAAGCTGATCTATAAAATGCAAGTCTACACAGGCCGTCCAATAAAAGCTCTTCTTTTCTGTTAAAGTTCAAAGGTTTAGGTTGAACGTAATCAGAAGGAGCTGTAAAAGAGAAATGAAGGACATCACTATTAAATAAAGGCAGAGGTAGACTGTAAAGGATGTGGGAGATAAAAATCAATTCTAGCAGAGAAATGCAGTATTTTGTATGGACGTCCTAGTTGTGTGTTAAAATGTGAGAAAGTTGGAGAAATGGGAGGAGTTTTGTTGTGTAAATGTGGAAACACGCAGAGCCGGTTTTGTGAGTTTTTTTTGTGCTCGCAGTTGAGCATTAACTCACACGCCTTGTTTGCAAAGCCAAGGGTCAAAAACTACCACCGCCGCCCCCTCCATCCCAGCTTCTGCTTCTCCCATGATCCTCTGCTTCAGTTTTTGATTGCTTGTGTGTGTTTAAACTTCTGTTTCGATTGGTGTTTTGTTCCGCTTTGGCTGCTGGTTGGCACAGATCTCTTTATTTATGTGTTGCTTTTGTTTTGTTTTGTAGGTTTTACTTTTGGACTGTTCGGTTTGAGTCCAGGAGGCCAAAATGGAAATGCACAGTAAGTACATGTGATTGTTACAGTATTCAAATTCTGTAATATTGGTTTAATGAAGTATTGATTTCATTTTGTGACTTCTTTAAAACGTTTAAAGGATCAGATAAACTAATAAAGTAATAAGGTATTTTATTAAACCAGCATTAATGTTTTACCCAGTATTTTATTTTAAAAAGGAAACACTAAAAACTTAAAGGGGTAGCTCACGTTATGATTTTGAGTTTAATTCTGTTCATCACAAAATAATATATTTTAAAGAGTTCTGGAAATCAATATACATGACTTTAAGGTGCAGTATGTAAGTTACTGGTTGAACTAGGCATTGGTTCAAAACACACGCAAGTGAAGGTTGCCAGATTGACGACATCAGTTGGAGCATGCCTGACTATTAAGCCTAAAGAATGATTTAACGTTCCTAATAAAAGCAACGGCACCCGATAGAAAGAATGTTTTCCAGATTAAAAGGAGTTTTTGTTCTAACCAACACCTGAAATTTATGTTTTAGAAACAGCTTTTACTTCTTGCAGCTGAACAACAGAAAACTATGACTGATCACTTCAAGTAAACATCATGTGCTTAATTCAGTGTTAAATGCTAATATTGTGAGTTTGAATGCAATTTTACTTGACATTTATCGCCATACTACTGAAAGCAGCAGCAGATTTTCACCTCAGATCTTGAAAATAAAATAAACAATAATAATAATAATAATAATAATAATAATAATAATTCCTTACATTTATATAGCACTTTTCTGGGCACTTAAAGCGCTTTACACAATGGGGGGGGGGGGGGGGGGGGTCTCCTCATCCACCACCAGTGTGCAGCATCCACCTGGATGACGTGTCGGCAGCCATTATTGTGCCAGACCTCACACCACTCACCTGCTGATTGGTGGAGAGGAGACAAAGTGATGAAGCCAATTGGAATATGGGGATGGTTAGGAGGCCATGATGGACAAGGGCCAGTGGGCAGATTTGGCCAGGATGCCGGGGTTCAGGATGTCCTACTCTTTTTCGAAGGACATCCTGGGATTTTTAACGACCACAGAGAGTCGGGACCTCGGTTTAACATCTCATCCGAAAGACGGCGCTCACTGAGCAGTATAGCGTCCCCGTCACTATACTGGGGCATTAGGACCCACACAGACCGCAGGTTGGGCGCCCCCTGCTGGCCTCACTAACACCACTTCCAGCAGCAACCTAGTTTTCCCATGTGGTCTCCCATTTAGGTACTGACCGGGCGCAGCCCTGCTTAGCTTCAGTGGGCGACCATGTGAGAGTTGCAGAGAGCTAGCTGCTGGCAAAAGTTTAAAATTGAACTTTAGAACTGTGACTCAGTGCAAACCAACACATATCAGTGATTGAGCATGTACATTTAATAATGTTAAAGAGGTTTAATATGTATTAATTAGATTATAAACCTTACCATTTTGTTGGAGTGCAGTAAGTGCACTATTTTGTGCTTCTGAATGGCTGTTTTTAAATTTCTGTCGTGTTTCGTCAGGTGCAAACAGCCAAATTGCTTATCACTGCAAATCTTGTCATGTACCATGTTGTTGAGACACAGGGTTACAATGTAACCTAATGTTTACATTTGTAATATTTATAGAATTATTTGTATTATAAGAACCAAAAGAAAGACAGACATTTCGTAACCGATATCTTTAACGCAGAATAACTGACGTTAGCATTGTTTTTTAGATAAACAAAAATGTTCACTTAGCATGTTTCATTTATATCTGCAAACATTTTATGGTATGTTTATGCTTTAGAAGAATCAAAAGCTTACATACAGCACCTTTAATAAGGGGACAAATAATATAAAAGTCAATGAGTTCTGATTTCCAACATTCGTTTTGAACGTTTCAACGTTTTGAAACCTGTGAAGGGTGAGTAAATCAAGACAGAATTTAGATTTAAATCTGTTTTAAATACAATTGAATTTGAATACTTGGTTTCCCAGGAGTATCAAAAATTATATTGATATTTTTTTGGTAGTGTATCAAAGTTAGAAATTCCAGTATTGTGACAACACTGTTATGTTCTATATGTGTTTTTTTCCAGTGGATGTTTTTTATTGAGTTTGTTTTAGTTGTAAATACATTAACTCAAACTGTTGTTGTATGTGTCTGCCAGTGGGAGAGGCTCCAGGTTCGGTGAAGGTCACAGAGTGGCAGCAGTCGTACTACGGCACAGATTCAGGCATCCATTCAGGAGCCACTACTGTTCGCTCAGATGATGATGGAACAGAGTACAGCTCTAAGAAATTCACCTACACCACCACATTCACAGAGAACCCTGCAGGTGAGAAGACACAATCATAAACTACCACAATTGTCTTTCGTAGCAGTTTCCTCATATTAGTAGAGTGACCGCATTTCGCTGAATTTCACTGAATTTGGTTGGTAGATCACTTTCCTGAAACGCTGATCCAGTAGTTGTAAGAGATTCATATACAGTTAAAACCAGAAGCTTACATACACTCTAAAAAAAGGAACATAACCATTTTTTTTAAAATGTCTGATGGTAAATCATATTAGACGTTTACTATTTTAGATTTTTACATTTGCTAAATGCCAGAATAATGAAAGAATTTTTTTTTTTAATTATTAATTTCTAGACAGTCAAAAGTTTACACACATTTCCTTGTTTTTTTTTAGCTTTGCTTTTAAACTGTATAACTTTGGTCAAATGTTTTGGGTATCCTTCCACAAGCTTCTCACAATAGTTTGAAGGAATTTTAGCCCACAATAAAACACAACAGGTTACTGTGAGGTTGGGTTTAGGGTTAGGGTTAGGTGTACAAATTAGGTGTTTAGGGTTAGGTGCACAATATTCAAGTCTAAATACAACTAAATAAGGTTTGCCCAGCCCACTTGAAGCTCCAAGACCCACCCACTTGGAGCTGGCTCCGGCTCCGGCTGGCTCCGGCCGTTTATACCCTTCTCGTATGCTTAGGGTCATGTCTGTTTGGGAGACCCATTTGTGGTCAAGTTTTAATTTCCTGGGTGATGCCTTGAGATGCTGCTTTAGTATTCCTACATAATGTTCTTTCTTCATGATGCCATCTATGCTGTGAAGTAGACCAGTCCCTCCTGCAGCAAACAGCCCCACAAAATGATGTTACTGCGCCATACTTCACAGTTGGGATGGTGTTCTTAGGCTTGTAAGCTTTCCCCTTTGTCCTCAAAATGTAACACTGGTCATTATGGCCAAACAGTTTAATCTTAGTTCCATCAGATCACAGGACATGTCTCCAAAATCTTTCTTTTTCCCAGTGTAGTTTAGCAAATTGTAATCTGGCACTTTTTGTTGATTCTAGCTTGTTGATTTTCCCATGTTGTCACACAAGGAAGCAGTAGCCGCGTTTCCACTATCGCGCCTAAAGCGAGCGAGCCAGGGCGAGCCAAGGCCAGTGGCGTTTCCACTGTCACTTCCGGGGCCTAATCGGGCCAAAGCGGGGCTTTCTTGGGGCCAGCGGCCGGCTTTTTTCGGCCCGCCGAATACCTTGGGCCAAAGAGGGCCAGCCGGGGCTTCGGGGCGGAGTGAAAGGAGAGGCGGGCACAGTTTTCCGACCGCACACGAGTACATGCGCCAAACACATAAACAAACAAATAAATAAGAGAAAGAAAACATCTGGAACAAATGATAGGCTGGGGTCTTTTTTGCATATGATCGCCCTTATGTTTCTCTTTTAAATGTAAGGTTGTTGCATAAAATGATAGCTTTAATAAGTCACTTTTCTTTGCTGCATCTCTTTGATGTTTCAATAACGCATACTAATCTTTACACCATATTAAAGACACAGCAGACAGTAAAGGATTTCAAGAGGTTTTGTCAAGTTTAATAAGTGTTTTTGCACGTTTAGATGCCTGTGCGTGTGTGAGACCGAGGAAAAGAGCGCTCCATTCATAGCTCTGTTGATGCCGCGAGCGGCTTTTTTATTTTTTTGTTTTAATTTATTTTGGAGATAATACACTATATGAATACAACAGAAAGACATTAAACTTTACAATTTTCATGTCCGCTTTTGTAGGCTCAAAACAATAGTGTCATATCTAGATAAAATAGCCTAAGCTATATTTAAATAATTTAAAGAATTACAAATATCAGATAGGCCTATAATAAAATCACATTAAATAAATAAACCAATATAAAACTAACAAAAGCTATAGCTATAACAATTAGGTACTATATCAAACTGTTTCAAATTTATATTAAACTTTCATTTTTCAAAAGCCTCTTTGAAAAAAAGATTTTCTAAAAAATAAATAAATAAATAAACACCGGAAAATGTTTTAAATATTATTTATAAAGTATTTGGATACGATGAAATTAATCAAATCATGCAAACAGAGCATTTTCGGGGTGAGTAAAAGCAGAAATAGGCAACCTTTTTTTCTGTCTGCAGCTGCGCAGCACTTTTTTAGACGGGGAAAACTGCAAGTTCAAAATGTGTTCTGTGTCCTCAAACAAGTGTGTATGTTTTTATATAACGTGGTAAAATTAAAAAAGGAAATTTAAAATACATAAAGAGCTTTATTGGTGCATTGCTGCTGAGCGCAACGAAATATAGGCAATATTTTATTACGTGCTGCTCTTATGTGCAGAAACACCGAACACTTTCCTTTACTTAAGATATAATAAGCAACGTCTTTAAATAAAGGGAATCACCTATTAAGTGTCATAAAGCCTATAGGGAAAAAAAAATCATGTTTCAGTTCTCTCCGAGCATTCGGGATGAATGTTGGACAGCGTCTGTCTAGAGGATGTTATAAAATACATTTTATATCGAGTTATTAACGGAGAATTTTATATATGTGGTTTTATATTATGGATGTGTGCGCTCCCTGTGCTGGGTCCCTCCGTTGGTGGCAAGACCACTGGATTTCGATGCCAGTCAGTGGGCGAGTAAATGAATATGATGAATGAAAACACACAGGCATGTGCGTATAGACATGCGTTGTACTGCTGTACAGTAACGTGTCATTTGTTTGTTTTGGTTGTCCTAATTTTAATAGTTTCGTGACGATGTGCTTTATCTGCATGATTCTCGCTGAAGTGGGCGGTTTGAGTGACGTTCGATTCGGGGGATGTTCTGGGGGCGGGGTTTGCTGACGCGCTGCAAGCTACTAGCCCCACAGTGGAAACGCGACATGATTTCGGCCTCACTGCTCAACCTCCCGGGCGATTGGCCCGGCCTGGCCCGATATAAGCCCTGGCTCGCACTGGCCTGATAGTGGAAATGCGGCTAGTGTGTTTGAGGTTTTCCTTAAGTACTGTTCTACAGAGTGAAGGAACTATGACGTCACTTTGTAGGCTAATCGGCTGCTAGCATAAAACTGGTTCCCTCGTGAAAATCCCTATAGGATTTTCCCATAGGGTTTTCGAAGTTTGCAAATAATAAGCTCTGTGTTCAAACACTGTTCATTACACTTACACGTTTTGTCCAGCCCGATAATCGTCACACGAAAATACAGCTATGAGCACTTTTGGATCTTAAATACAAACATAAGAATTTAAAAGCTAACATTAGGCTATAAACAGACTTCAGTGACTTCGGGGTGCTCGCCTGTGACGTCAGCCCCACCCTGCTGCAGACAACTTTACACGCTTATTTTTAGAAATATAGTCCATGACAAAGAGTTAATCTCTCTGTATATTATATTATAATCCACGCTATATATTATAAACAAATAAATACGCAAAAACACATAGACCTATGTGCCTTTTGGATCGTTTTTACGTGGGAAATACATCCATTTTGCTTTACGGTTGTTCTAAAAGTTTTAAAATTGTGTGTATAAATCTGCCTACATAGTATTATCATAAGACATGTTTAAATAAGTATATCGCTCACATGCACACAGCCTGCTTACCTTAACAGACGACAGAAATGAGGCGTGAGGAGGAACAAGTCTATCAAATGCCTGCAAGTTCTGTCATGGACACAGAGCAACATTCAGTATTCCTTTTGTGTCACGAAGTACAGCGAAAAGCAGCCCATACAGTCACATCTGCTATACGTTTTATGAAGGGGTGTAAATATTGGAGTTATGGTTAAATGTGTTCAGATTAAGAAAAAAAGACAAAAAATCACTTGATCACGTGAAAATGACAGTTAACATGCATGTATTTTTACACATTTATTCATGCGTTTGCATTACTGAGAGCAGGAAAGAGACAGGCTGCACTAGTAAGCAGTATCTTCATAATATTGTTTATTAAAATAAATGATCAACAAATGAACAGCCTTTACAAGTAAAGGAATTATCGACACACAATCTGAATTCCCAATTAGAATAATACAACAAACTATAAAATAGTATTCATGAAAATACCTAAATAACAGACAAATCCAACTGCCCAACACAAGCGAGCTGAGTGCGCTCCAGACCAGATCAGCTCAATGACGTATAATGTCTCCGACACCGCATGAAGTCCCATTTAGCAACTTGATAGCAACCGTCTTTTTAAAGAAGCATAACCAATTTAAAAATTCAAGAGTGGGATGTAACTGATGTGTTTTATGTCGTAGAACAAAACGTGAAAGTATCTTGAGTTTGTGTTTGCCACGAACCCTATTTAAGCGATTTTACTGAAACCCCATTGAAAAAAACCCATTGACTTTGGGACAAGGGAACCGGAACTGCTAAAATGCTAACTTGCTTCCGGGTTTTTGCATACAAATTGACGTCATAGTTCCTCCACTCTATTAACTCAAATGTTGTCAATTAGCCAGTCAGAAACTTTCAAAACCTTGACATCATCACCTGAGCTTTTTCAGAGGCATAACTATCTTATTGTATGTAAACTGGACTTTCAAGAAAAGTTATAACAATTTCTCCAAAAATATCTTATAAAGAATCTCAAAAATAATAAATAAACAAATATGATAATCCTAACTGACTTAAAGAGAAAAAGTTAAATCACATTAACTTCTGACTTTTTATACAGTGTATGTAAACTTCTGGTTTCAACTGTAAACTATAGTATTACTTTTTCTTTTAAAATACCATCTAATGTTCATTCATAAGCCTCAATTTTGGGGAAAAAGAAACCTCTATGAATTTTTCTTTGCAAAAGCACTTTATCTGTGAATCATGTTATATTAAATTGTTTGCTGTTCATCTTGAAGAGATTTTTAACACTTTTAAAACAAATACAACTTTCGAGTTTTTACCAAAAAAAAAAAATCGTAAAAACTTAAGTATACATTTTCTCTTAACGAAAACAGCCATCGAAACTGGAATGATATTGAATGCACATAAATTGATGTAATAACCTTTATTTAACCAGGTAGGTAAATTGAGAACTAGTTCTCATTTACAATTACGACCTGGCCAAGCGGCAACATAATAAGCAGATACGGAGCAGCAGTCACACAGTACAATAACAATTTCACAAATGCAGAAAATAACATATAAAATCGAGGAAAAACTAATAACAAACCCAGTGATCTTGTACTATTAACTGGATTTAATTTTTACAGGATGATAGTGGAATAAAAATGTTGAGCTTTAAGGTCTACTGCAGATGATTCCAGTCATCAGCAGCAAACAACTGAAAAGAGTAGCGACCAAATGAAGTGCAAACTTTGGGTATACAAAGGTTAATAAAACTATTATAGTGCCGATATCCGTGTTTCCTTAATGTTAAGAAGTGACTGTTTATTTATAATAAATCACGTTTGTGTTTGAATTTTTCCTCTGTGCTCTATCTCTGACACTGGAACAGGGGTTGGTTGCACCAGCAGTGCGTAAGTTAAAGCATAGTTGTGACTTTAACGAACACTAAGTTACAACTTGACTGTTAGTCAGTTATCTACATATAAACAAAAAGAACTAATGCAAAATAGGTGAAATGATGTGCATAAAATACAGTATTACTGACAATTTTCTTTATTTCATAATTTTGAGTTATGAATTACAATATAACAGTACTACTTGGTATCACAGTACTTCAGCTGGTATAGTATCATAACATGAATGATGGAATCGCGACATCCCTACTACTCACAGAATTTATATCGTAGGAAAATATGCGATTTTTAGATGCACCATGCTGCTAGCACTCAACTTTAAAAACATAATAAGTCGTTATACTAAAAATAAAGCTGAAACAAAGGAAAGAAGGGAACATCTGGCCACGCTATATATTAGTTTGCCTACTAAACACCACAAAATGCTCAAAATAAAGAGTTTAGTTCATTATCCTTTCTTTATCTGTTTTCTATAGAGGTGGAGTCTCAGTTAAACATGACTCGTGCTCAGCGTGTGAGGGCGGCCATGTTTCCTGAGACTGTGATGGAGGGATCGGTCATTCATTCTACACAGATCGATCCATCCCAGCAGACCAATGTACAGAAGCTGGCCGAACCATCTCAGCAGCTCAAAGCTGCCATCGTTCACCTCATCAACTACCAGGACGACGCTGAACTCGCCACACGCGCCATCCCAGAGCTCACCAAACTCCTCAACGATGAAGACCAGGTATGCTGCTGCTCGCATCAGACATCAGGGCCTGCATTCACAGAACATTTGTTCTTACAACTAAAAATTCCTCTTAATCACTGTTACCTATGAACCTATTCACAAATCTGCTGAGGCGAGCTTTTTTACAAAGGAATATAGAAAAGTCTTTTTTGTTATCGTCATTGCTACGAATGTCAGCAGGCTTATTAACTATACAGATAATCCCAATTCTACCCCTTAGCTCTTTCCCCTTAAGCCTGGTTTATACGTCTGTGTCAAGTGACCGGCGTGACCCAAGGCGCATGCAACGCGCATAGCTGTGCATTTATACTTCTGCGCGCTGTCTCTGTTGGTCTGAATTAACACTTTCTAAACGCTAGTGGGCAGTGAAGTGTAAATGTTTCTCTGTGTCGAGTTTCTTCTCTGCTGTTTTGCTTTTCCTGAACACTTCCTGGATGTACAAGTGGTTCAAACTTGCTCATTTTGAGGTAGGAACCGGCGGACGTGCAACAACTTTAACTATGAGGTAAAGACAAAACAAAACTTTCCATCAGGAGCTCCTTCACGGGACTCCACACTTGTAAACAATCGCTCCATTGGGCTCGTCGTTTGACGCAGAAGTATAAATCAGCCTTTGCCCCTACTTTACGTTTTGCGCGGGTTAGGGGTGTCCCGATTGTCTTAAGGCATAGGTTGAAGGGGAAGGGGTAGATACCCCTTCAAACAGAGGTTTTTCAGGACCACACTTGAGATCGCGGTAACATAAGATGATGTGTGCAGGTGCTGTAGTGCTGTTCCATTTCTTAGGCGGTAAATTTTTAAGCCCTTCCCCTTTACACTCGGTTTTAAGGGCCAATATGGGGTAGATGATTGGCTGATCTGTTAGAAATATATTCATAGAAATATTATAGAACACAATATTATGTTGGCATATTCAAATAAAGTTTAATAAATAAAAATATTGTCACATTAAAACAAAGATATTAATATGCGGGCTTAGTGTATCTAATTAAACAAACGCGTGTTCAGCTAGTTGTCAGCCTTTTACACATCAAATGTGTTTCTGGTAAACAATTAGCGAGTATGCATATAAACTGCCTTTTAATTTACAGAGTACACTCAAAAAATTTAATTTGCTGATTTTTAAAGTACTTGTTTAAAATGAGCTTAACACAATTCATGAGGGATTTTGGGGAACAGCTTAATTGTTTTATGTCTATTTCACTTAAATCTGTTAAAAAAACTAGTAAGTTAACCTAATTCCTTCATGTTGCCCCAACACAAATTGATTGTATGGAGCCCAGCATTTTTTACAGTGTTTAGTAATCATGGCTAATAGTACAGGCACGTCACACTGCACTTTTCGCCCCATAGACCTGCATTCATATGCATACGAAACAAGCTTGTGTGACAAGTTTTGCATGTTACTGCATTTGAAAGTTAACACATGGTGAACTCTGACCAACAAAATCGCATCATGTGATTGCATAAGACCAATAAATCAAAACGTGACCTCTCTGCACAGAAATTTAAAATATGGAGCAATCCCTCGCTTTATCAACGTCTTTTACGTCAACGTTTTAGCCCGCTCCTTTTCACAGCACCGTACGACCAAATTTTGCAAGCTCAAACTCTAGTGTGACCATGGCTTTAGACATGCAAACATAAGAGAGAATCATACTGATTGCAAGAACATGTGCACTTCTTGCTTTAAGCTGTTAATAAAGCAAGCAAATTATACCTATTACATTTAAGGTGATACCTCTTTGAAAGCTCATTAGGTTAAATTACCGTCTTAACGTAAAGTGGATCTTTTTAAAGTTTGCAAAAAAACCAAATGCGAATTAGGTTGGTTTCCATCAAGATGTAATAGCGGCTGAGTGTAGTATTGGTAACCTAGTAATAACCAACAATCTAGTAAACAAGGCACCATTAACCATCACTCGTTTCTCATGTTATAATTAACGTAGGGTGATAGAAACCCTCATGAAAAACTTTATAGATCACGATTTATAGATCACATGAATCAAAACACCAAAAATAATGACAAATGAGAGAGATGAAAAAAAGAAATAATAAAATATATAAACCGTTATCTAGAAATGAACATAGTTGATAATATTTAAAATGAGTTGAAATGACACAGTTCTTAACTTTTTGGGGCGAAATTTTAATAGTTTGTATTTTAATACCATTTTAATAATTTGTACTAATTATAATGTTAATCGATTTGTGTTGGGACAATGTCAATGAATTGTGTGGAACAAACTAGCAAGCAAACATTTACAAATGTTGCTGGTATACAAAAACTATTTGATTATTCATTTATATTGTATTCATCTAAAATGATCAAATGTACATGCTAAAAAAATATCAGTTATGTTGTGATTTCAAATTCTTAGTCTCTGCTTATTTTGATCCTGTGGTGTTTCTTTTGACATCAGTTGGTTGTGAACAAAGCCGCTATGATCGTGAACCAACTGACCCGCAAGGAGGCATCCCGCCGGGCTCTTATGCAGTCCCCGCAGATGGTGGCCGCTGTAGTGAGAGCCATGCAGAACACGACCGACATGGAGACGACCCGCGCCACAGCCAGCATCCTGCACAACCTCTCGCACCAGCGTGAAGGACTGCTCGCCATCTTCAAATCAGGCGGCATTCCAGCTCTGGTGCGCATGCTGAGGTGAGAGAGAGACTGTAATACTGAAAAAAAAATGACTTGGTGAATAAACGCTCACATTTTTAGTTGCAAATTTGTGTTACTGAGATTTTGGACATAGATGTTTATTTAGTGAAAGTAGACAATACTTCACTAACCATCTAACTAACCATCAGAAGTCTTAATAATTACCGTGTGCAATATTTATTAGTTCGTGTGAATCCAAATCCATTTATCCATCCATTAATTTTCCTTCAGCTTAGTCCCTTTATTTATCAGGGGTCTGAATTAAAAATTTACAATGTATATTTTGCTTTTGCACGTTTTTATTTACTAGATTAACATTTAATCCATGCAGGTTAATCCACTTTAAAAAAATGGTTTTGGTAATCTTCAATCAAAGTCATGGTCATTTGCTTCTGCATTTGGAGTGTCAGTTCAACTATGTTGACGTCAGTTTGACGGCTTCAGCCATAATTATCTTGACCAGACTCCTCTTACCATTAGTTTGCTCCAAGGGAATGATTCACAAAAAGAAAGCCTGACCCTTACTCTGTATAAATTTTCAGTTGAAAGTATATGAACCTACTGAAATAAAATTTTTAAAAACAACTTCCTTTTAAGGCAAACTTTAATACCAAGCTTGGATATTCTACATGAGATACTATTCATTGCATTAAGTTTTATATTTTTATTTTATTTTGAGTATAAACAGGTAAACAAATAGTGATAAAATGTAAATTTTAATTAATTGGGAAATATATAAAAATGTTTATAAAACTTTAATATCCGTGTATGTGTCACAATAAATTAAAGCTTAATCTTAATTTATGAATTTGAAAGCTTAATTTAAGGGTTTGGTGATTCATATCTTAAAGTTGCAAACATAAAAAGCAGTAAAAACATTTGTAAAAAAGAAAAAAAGAAATGTATAATCAAGCTTTGATATTTTGCCAGAGATTTTTAAAAATTTTGTTTCACTTATTTTAAGTTTGTATTATATTTAAATTACTTTTTGACTACAAAAAAAGCAGTTTTAAAAGTCCTAAAAATCCTACCCGTGAGATTTAAGTTGTACTCATATACTAATGACAAAATGTATTTGAGGGGTTAAGTAAAACCTAATAAAACCCTTTTTTTTTTTTTTGCTAAAGAGCATCTACTTTTCTTTATAAAAGTTCATTATATGGAGCTCTCTAACAACACTTTCATGGTCTTATATGAATTTATTTTTACCTAGTTATCCCAACAACTCCTAAATGGTTTGTTCAGCAATTCATTTCTTCCCAAACCCCTCCTCAGAGTGAGGCTAATCTGTGCTGATTGGTCTGATGACCCATTCTGTTGTAATTGGTCGACTGGGTTCAGCGCTAGACAAAGAGGAAACACCTACCACGGCTATAATGTAGCACACAGAGTATGTAAGAGCCAAATGCAGGAATGCAATAAAACAATGCAGTTAAACACCAGCATATTACTCTACTCTTAAACCATAACTCTAAGTAATAACAACGACACACATTTAGTATTTATCTACACAGTGGCAAACGTTGAAATATTTTGAACATTGACCATGAGGAACAGCTGATGGTGGCCAAAGATAAACAGCAGAGGATTGGAAGTTCAGAAACGCTCTAAATCTATAAAGTAAGAAGCACACGTTGTGTTATCAGTGTGGTTTTGGACATTATATGCAAATAGCCCAATACAGATTTAACCTGAGAGATACAGTACAAGCATTGAGCTAAAATAGATAAGTGATTACAAGTCGCACAGAGCGATTACAAGTTGCAACACACTATTAAATACATAATTTGCAAACTACACAAAACGAGGAAAAAAATTTAAATACACTTACTTGTTATGATCCGGAGGAAGAAGAAACTGGTCCATATGAACTACAACAGTTACTGACAACGTCCCTTTCAAAGTCTGACATAGTCACATATATTGTCCCTGCTTCTCCTTCCTTTAATCAAAGGCCAACGAATCCTGTGTTGCAGCATAGGTTATGCCACCAAAATTCAGAACAATTAAAGGAGCAAACACAGCAGTATATTGGCTATACTGTGATATTGTTGTGAAAATGAACTTTAATCCTTTATCCTCACTGCCGAATCTCCATCTGTCAGAGATCATTATCTTCATGTCATGATCAGTCCCATTTTCCCCCCATGCTCCACTAGTTTCCGAAGGGAAAGGCAAGTTCACGTTTTACCGGAAGCAGCACTTCATATTTGGTGATGTACTGTATTGACATAGACACGTTCAAGCAGAAGATCCTAACCCAACATGTTTAATTTATTCGACTCTGAGTCCACTTTTCATTTCAGAATTAATAGTTTTAAACATGGTGAACTTTCAGATTTAAACCACAGCTGGATGTTTTCATTCACACACTGCATGGTTTCATTTTCAAAAACCCATAATAATGGCTCTTTAAGCTTTTATAAGCTCTATATGTGCTGCATTAAACTAATTATTCATTATATTATGCATTAAACTGTCTTCAACAGCAATTGTGTGCAGAGTTTTATAAACATTGTTAAAACGTTGATATTTCTAATAATTAAGAAATTCCAGCAACTGATTTGTATCATCCAACCTATTTTGTTTGCAGCTCTCCGATGGACTCTGTACTTTTCTACGCCATCACCACCCTGCACAACCTGCTTTTGCACCAAGAGGGAGCCAAGATGGCGGTGCGTCTGGCTGATGGTCTCCAGAGGATGGTTCCCCTGCTGAAGAAAAGCAACCCCAAATTCCTGGCCATCACCACAGACTGCTTGCAGCTGCTGTCCTATGGCAACCAGGAGAGCAAGGTGTTTATGATATATCATTATATATTTAGTATTTAGTAGTTGTTGATTTTTTTTACCTTGATTTGTTTTAAATTTGATTTCATGTTAACATCAGTCTGATTGTTTCACAGCTGATTATCCTGGCTAATGGTGGTCCTGAGGGTCTTGTCAACATCATGAGGACTTACAACTATGAGAAGCTGCTGTGGACCACCAGTCGTGTGCTGAAAGTGCTCTCTGTCTGTCCAAGCAACAAGCCTGCCATCGTAGATGCTGGTGAGTCAAACGGAAAAACTAAACCTCTCTTTTAAATGTAGTAATTATTGTGTTAAATACATACAGCACAATAAAAAAACTCCAAAAAATTAACCACACTAATCACTACTCTCATAGTAATGATACTATACCTTAAAATATACTTGAGATATACAGTAGTTTTAAATCATTTTGGATGTTTTATTTGTTTTTCTAACATTACTTTGAATCTTCTTATGTGTAATTTCCTGTTTGCTTATTGTTATTAGTTCTCACTTTATTTCATATTTTAATATTTGATATATTTATTTTATTTTGTTATACTTAAAATCATGTTTAAAATAATATTTAACTAAATTAAAATGGAAAATAGCCAGCAGTTATATGTTATATAATTGCATGTTTGTTTTAAACAATGGTTATAGTTTTAAATATTAAACTTATAACCACTAAGCTGTATATTAAGAGTTCAGATGCTGAAAAATGAAAACGTCCCTCATCTCAAAACTCTGCATTATAATAAAAAGAAAACGCACTGTACAGTCGGAAATGTTGCATACATTCAAAACAGCTTTTTTGTGCTCTGACGCTACTTTGAATGAGTCCGATTTACTATACATCTAATGGCAACTCTGTTTGTCAAAAGACAAGGTTAAGGGTGCACCTGTAAATTGATTCAGTTGTTCCAAAACAGAGATTACAATTGTTACATTGTTGCTTTTTGCTCTTGGAGCGGTTGGCTTTCACACGGCAAAGTTTCTAATCGGACCAAAAGAGCTAAAACAAGTCACATGCGAGTAAACTCTCCTCACATTGGTCAGAGTGTCAGGGTCTATTTTGCAGCGTCCCGCTCAGCTGTCAGGAGAGGTGGTGGTTTGGTGGTGATTGACAAGGTGTGCGCGCGCGATGTGTCTGAGGAGAGATGCGGTGGGGAGGGGTGAGAAGGGTGCGCGACGATGCCTATTTGAGGACCGGGAGGGAGACGCGAGATTACCGGGAGATCGTCACTCATTTGCGGGCATCCGGAGACTTGCGAAACTTTCCACCCTACTCATAATTCTCTCTTCATATAGCCGTATGCCTATTACATATCCATAAAACACTGTGATATAACCGCGCTCGGATCGGATCGCTTTCTCACTGCAATCGAACCGCTCCAGGGTTCGTTTCAATCGAGCCGAGACCACCTCATTCAAGCGATCTCGGAGCGATTACTTTGGCGCGGAACAGAGCGCGATTGCCCTGTTCACATATGCCAAACGAACCGCACTAACTGGGCAAACAAGACAGGTTCCGAAACAAAAATGTAGGTGTGAAAGCACCTTAAGATGCCGTTCTTTTATCCCACATGGATGAAATCAGGTTAAACAATAGAAAAAAAAGACTGTGAGTATGGTGAGTGAATGAATGAATGACAGCTTTTAAAAATGTCTGAGAGACGTACCCTTTTTGGCCAGTAGGCCTACATTGTGTTTTATTTGCTAATGTAAGCTAATTTTTAAAAGATAAATATAATGTTTAAAACTGTACATTGTTTATATTAATTGAATAAATTATATTAATTTTTATGTTAATAGACAATGCAAAGATATTGCTGTTTTACAGTGTTTTTACACTACATTATTTGAATCTAACAAGCGTAGTTTACAATGTTTACACTACTCTACTTGCATTAAATCTAAATCCCAAATATCAGAAATGACAACAGAATGTTAAGATTGTATTAATGTCAATGTCAATGTTAATGTTATTGATTAATGCGCTTACTTGACAGATTTAATTCATTCGTTTTCCTTCTGCTTAGTCACTGGTTTATTAGGGCATACCACAGCAGAATGAACCACCACTTACTTGACAGATTTATATATATATATTTATATATTTTTTGATCTGTATAATGTGTTTTAAGTTTGGTACAAAAATTTCTTGTTGAATCTTTAGTGATTTTTCAACTAATTAAGCTGTCTTGCCCCAAAAGGTGGGTTTAGAGGTTTTTTCAAAAAAAAGCACAAGAAGATTTAGCTGGTTTTGACGTAAAAGAAAATCGTCCTTCTTTAAAACTAAAGAATTGTCTAAAGTGACATTTATAAAAAATAAAAAATATTTTATTTACTAGCTAATAACCTTTTCATTATCTATAAAATGAAACTTATAAACCCAATTATAGTAGCTTGATAGAAAATGCTCATTTAAAAAAATAAAAAAATAAAAAATGAATAAGATTTAGATTTTTTGGATTTAGAGGGATTTACAACTCTTCATATTTTGTTATATTTCCTCATTTTCAGGTGGAATGCAAGCTCTTGGTAAACATCTGTCCGGCTCAAGTCAGCGTCTGATGCAAAACTGCTTGTGGACTTTGAGAAACTTGTCAGATGCTGCAACCAAACAGGTTAGTTTATGCATTTTTAAACCATTTAACTCTCTACATCTATACCACTTTAGCACTCAATCAAGGTGGACTCACTATAACTGAAAGGAACACTAGGCTCATTTGTTACAAGTACCCTAGAGTTAAACATTTGAGTTTAACCATTTTGGAATCTATTCAGCCGATCTCACTTTTAGTTTAGCTTAGCTTAGCATAAATCATTAAATTGGATTAGATCATTAGGATTTTGTTGAAAATTCATTTTAAAAAGAGTTTTGATAACTTTCTTATTTAAAGCTTGACTCTTCTGTAGTTCATGTTTGCAAAAATCTTTAGTGTTATGACTGCATCAGGCACAATAATATGCAATTTAATAAAACGTGTGACTGTTTTCAGGTGCTGCATAATATCATTGCACCTGCTGCCATCATGGTACAGAAGCATAGATCTTTGTTTATTACGCCAGAATGAGAGTATAGTTCCTAGCCATATTGACATAGAAAATAGAATCTTTTCATTTTTATTTAAACTATATTAAATACTTTAACTACTGAATACTTTTTTTGAGTGAGGTGCTAATGGTCTAAACCCATTCAATGATTTATGCTAAGCTAAGCTAAAAGTGCTTCCAACAGACCTGGAGACTGGCTGAAAAGATTCAAAAATGGTTAAACTCTGGACTATTTTCAAAAAAACGTGGTGTTACTTTAAATTCATTATAATTTTTGTAGTATAGATGAGTAAATATTAAAGTAAAAAGTAATTCAAAGTAATAGTAAATAATGAAATCAATATCTTCCTCCAAAAACTTGTGTTTGTATTCAAGAACATACTGTTCACTTCTACTTTTGGAATCAAGAAGTTTAAATCAGTTGTGGTTATCATGTACATTCTTTCTATTTAAATTGCAAAACAAGCAGCAGTTTCATAAATACTGCAGAAATATATTATCTGCATGAGGGGGCTTTTAGCTATTGCGTAGCACAGTGAGAGACAAAAGTCAAAGCCTTTCTGCTTAAACTCAGTTTGATTACCATCAGGAAAATATGCATTGGCGCCAAAACATGCTCTCTGTCGCCCCCTGCAGGACGGTATGGAGAATCTTCTTCAAGTCTTGGTCGGTCTGCTGTCTGCTGATGACATCAACATGCTGACCTGTGCCACAGGCGTCCTGTCCAATCTCACCTGCAACAACACACGCAACAAAACGCAGGTAACCCAGAGTAATGGCGTGGAGGCTCTCATTCACACCATCCTGAGGGCCAGTTCAAAACAGGACGTGATCGAGCCAGCCGTCTGCGCTCTGCGCCACCTCACCAGCCGGCACCCAGAGGCTGAGACTGCACAGAACGCCGTACGAATGCATTACGGCATCCCTGCTATTGTCAAACTGCTCAATCAACCCTACCACTGGCCAGTTGTCAAGGTAAATAAATGCCTGTTCACTCTAAGGTTATCCATCACTCATACGCTTTTCTTTATATTGCTCTGTAGAATCCCATTATCTCCATCACTTTGCTCACTTGGTAACACCACAGAAACTTCCTAGCAAGTATAAAAACCCACTCTTAATTTCCCTCACTATCGCCATGAGAACATTTTAATAAACTGGAAAACTAAAAATTGCGTTAATATTATGGCCCATTTCCACTGAGTGGTTTCCACTGTCAAAAGGTGTCCCGAACCGTACCGTACCACTTTTTCGGCACCCTTTCGAAAGGGTACCAAACACTAGACTAGAGCTAGACTTGCAGCTGAACGCTATTAGTTTAAACAACATTCGCTTGCGCAACAAGCCAGATTGAAAACAAAAACCCACCATGTTTGAAATGCACAGCGAGAGATTACGGCGGAGTTATAGATGCATATAATAACGCGCCATGGTCGAACCAGGCTTAAACAAACCTTGTCGTCATCTTAATGAACAGCCACAAAGCCAAAAAGAAGAGCAGATTTACCCTGTGCTTCGTAGTTTTTTTATGAGCCAGTCTGATGCTTGCGCTTGCAACATTGTAGACAACACTAGTGAATAAATGATTTAATCTGCTCAGGACCGGCACATGACCAGTTAAAACAAGCTAAAGGCCAGTTCAAACCAAGAGTCATGCTTTAAAACAACCTAACAAGCATAATATTTTATTTTGTTTTTGTTTTTTTACTGGAAAAGCAGATGTTTTGCTAACCAAATGCTGTTTAAAAATTCCTCTCACAGATGTATCTTTGCTATCTTAGTAGTAATTTATATATCGTATTACATATCGTATGTATCATCATTTTTGGCCACAACATGTGCTAAATCATGCTATCAATATTGTAAAACATGGACAGGGCTGTGTTAAATCATATTAGCCTTATATTAGCATATGCTAAAACAGTTTTTATGCTCAGAACATTAGCAACTTGCTGAAATGTGTTAGAAACATACTAGCAACACATTAAAATATAACAACAACATGCTTAAACATGCCAGCAACTGGATAATTAAATGTTAACAATATGTTAACACATGAAGTATTACACAAAATATATTCCCAAATAGATTAATTTATTGTATACATTCAGAAATAGGTGGGCTAACTTGATAGCTGTTGCTTAGGGTTTTATTGGTGGTTTCCCTCTCAGTGAGTTGTTTATACAATAAAAGGCTTTAATTGGTTTGTTGTTTTGCTACCTTCTCTTGCTGACTTTACATTTGTTATCTTCACAGGCTGTGGTTGGTCTGATCCGTAACCTGGCCCTGTGTCCAGCCAATCAGGCTCCTTTGAGGGACGCTGACGCCATTCCCAAACTGGTCACTTTGCTTTCAAAAGCTCATCAGGATGCACAGAAACCTGGTTCATCTGCTCAACGATCATACCAGGTTTGAATTCCTCTTTTGGGACTGTAACTAAGATGTAGTGTGAAACTGAATACCTCCCTACTATATAGTCCATTTTAAGGGATGTAAACAAAAACAATTGTCCCAACATAATTCCTGTTTTACGTTTTTAATTTCTATTGCTTGCGAGAATCCAAAAAGAGCAACATATTGATAAATAATGTTACGATAGCTGTTTTAACATTAAGTTATGATTGAATCGCCTGTTGTTACAGTTATTAAATAGTTTGATAACAAGCAGGAAATGATCATGGGTCAATGACATGACCACATTGAAATGGTCTATAGATCGTTGAAAGCCAGATGTGAGCAAATAGCAGATGCCAAATCCAAATTCCATTTGTACTACTCATATTCATACTATGTAGAACGTACACTTCTAACAGCCCTGGAGTAAATTCAAAATTCAAATGTACTACCTACTTGAGTAGTAGGCGATTTGGGACGCAGCCTAAGACAATTATTTTTGGCAGCCAAAGGTTTAATCATTTGAAAATACAAAGGACTTTCCCATTTGAACACTAAAAGCCAATTCACATGGCACCAACAGATGCCGAGCAGTGTGGATAATCGCCATCAGCTTCTTTAAAGTGAATCAAAACAATTCAGCACAACCAGTGTAGTTCAACTTCTGAGGGATTTATTATAATAAGACTTTCTTTTTAGTGGATTTAAACGTTACTCAAACGGTGCTGTCCAGTTCATTAATGAATGAGCTGGTTGATTTAAGTCAGTGCTCTCCAAACTTGTTCCTGGAGGGCCGGTGTCCTGCAGATTTTAGCTCCAACCCTAATCAAAAACACCTGATCAAGCTAATAAAGGTGTTACTGGGTATACTTGAAACACCTAGGCAGGTGTGCTGAAGCAAGTTGGAACTAAACCCTGCAGGGACACCGGCCCTCCAGGACCGAAATTGCTGACCCCTGATTTAAGTGAATCACAAACAAGAAGTGCAGTCCGATTCCAAAACATTGAGCTGGTTCTTGATTAACCAACCAATACAGCTTTCTACTAACTTTGTGACTTGGAACTTGTGTATATGTTATCAGTTGTATATGTGTGTGAAATTGTATAGAATGTCTAGGAAATGTATTAAATGTCTGATGGTCTTTTTGTAAAGATTTTGCATACTTTTCCTAGGCGTTTATTCAATTCATAGGAATTATATAGAATGACAAGTATCATTTAGGCAAAGTGTCAGAAGAGCTCAACAAAAGCCTTTATTGATCATGTACTTATATTAAGGTGGGAGGAATACGAAATGAAGCATATGATGTTCTTACCGAAAAAACAAAGACAGGAGAACTGAGATATAATTATTTGTTACAATATTGTCTGTGATGTGCTAGTGGAACCCCCTACTGGCAATATGCTTGTCTTACAATAACGTTCAACACTGAACGTACTTCGATCGCCATCATCAAACAATGACCCAAGCACCACTGGCAACAATAGTGTCGGGAAAATGGCCGGGGTAGGCTAGTTACATACTTTGCTGCACGACAACTCTGCATTCTATTGAATGCTTTGGCAATGTAAAAAGTAGCCATCATGTCATACTTTGAGGTTTGATTTTAGGCTTTCTATACATTTCTAAGCAATAAGTAAAGTTTATTTATAAACTAATTTCGAGAGGATCACGTGATTATGATTGAACACGGCTGGTTCTGCATTAACTATGTATGATCCACCAATCAGGCCAGTCCTAACCCACTATAAAGAGTTTGTCACTAGTCATCTTCGATTTGAAGAATCCCCCCTTCCACCCCTACTCTAACTTTCCCCTACATAGGGCGGCACGGTGGCCCAGTGGTAAGCACTGTAGCCTCACAGCAAGAACGTCACCGGTTCTAGTCCTTTAACAGGCTGTCGTTTCTGTGCGTAGTTTGCATGTTCCTCCCGTGCTCGTGTGGGTTTTCCCCGGGTTCTCCGGTTTCCTCCCACATTCCAAAAACATGCACTACAAGTGAATTAATTGATCTAAATTTAGCACTACAGTCAAACTCTCATCCAGCAGCATATTTCTTCATAGCAATCATTTTAGTCATCAGCTCTTATCAAAATAAGGGGGAGTTGTCAAGATCTGCCTGAGCTCAAAGCTCCACTCTTGCTCTGCAAACGGGAGGTAGCCCAGGGCTTTAGAAACTTTTGAGCTCAGGGCTCTCTCCCTGGACAGCATGCTTAACTTGCTTATAATCAATCATCAGCTAAGTGTGAAGTCTTGAAATAAAATGCCGGATTTCACACATTGGCGTAACATATATATATATATATATATATATACTGACTAGATGTTAAAACGACAATGGTTAGTTATTTAAATAATTTTTTTTAGGTATTCAATGGTTAGTTATTAAAATACTTATTCTTTAGATACAGAAACAGAACCAGAGTTCTGGACCCATCCTTTAACATAAAGCTAGCACTGCAAAGAAAGCTTTTCTTGGGGGATTTTGACTTGTTTCTAGCCTAAATATCTAACAATTCTGAAAATCAAGAACCATTTTCTTTACAAGCAAAAAATATTGTCTTGTTTTCAGAAATAATATGTCAAAATGAAGTGAGTTTTTCCTTAAAACAAGCTTAATAATCTGCTAATGGGGTAAGCAGATAATCTTTTTTTTTTCATTTTAAAATGAGATTATTTAGCCTGCTTTAAGAAAAAACTCATTTAATTTTGACATACTATTTCCCAAAACAAGTTAATTTTTTTTTTCCTGTCCAGAAAATGCTTGGACTAGAAATGAGACATTATAATCCAAGTTAAAAAAACAAACATTTCTTGCAGTGTAGAGATACTATTTTGTTAGTGAATTATAATAATGACACATTGTTTTTCCACCGTTTTTCAGGATGGGGTAAGAATGGAGGAGATTGTTGAGGGCTGCACTGGTGCTCTTCATATCATGGCCAGAGATCCTATGAACAGAGGCACCATTGCCAGCATGGACACCATTCCTCTGTTTGTTCAGGTAACGTTTACATTTTCTCACTGTTGTGCTATTTTATGACCGTTTTTATGTACACGTCTGTGAGCGGTTTTGTAAATAGTGTTTGTTCTCCATCCGGACATGGTTAGAGTATAAGACATGCTTTCTGTTCGTGCAGCTGTTGTATTCTCCACTGGATAACGTCAAGCGTGTGGCAGCTGGTGTTCTGTGTGAACTGGCTCTTGATAAACAGTCGGCTGAGATCATCGATGCGGAAGGAGCCAGTGCTCCTCTCATGGAGCTCCTTCACTCCAGCAACGAAGGGATCGGTGAGTGAGAGAGAATCGTCTAAAGCCTAACAGAGCAATTCAAGTTTCAGTTTAAGCATTGTATATACAGTTGAAGTCAAAAAGCCCTCCTGTCAATTTTTGTTTTTATGTTTCCCAAATGATGTTAAACAGAGCAAAGAATTTTTCATAGTATTTCCTATAATATTTTTTTCTTTAGAAGGAAGTCTTATTTGTTTGATTTAGGCTAGAATAAAATCAGTTTTTCATTTTTTTAAAAGTCATTTTAAGGGCAATCGTATTAGTCCCCTTAAGCATTTTTTTTTTCAAATTGTTCACCGAACAAGCCATCATTATACAATGATTAATAATTAACCTAGTTAAGCCTTTAAATGTCACTTTAAGCTGAATACTAGCATCTTAAAAACGTCTAGTAAAATATGATCTACTGTCATTATGGCAAAAATAAAAAGAAATCAGTTATTAGAAATGAGTTATTAAAACTATTATGATTAGAAATGTGTTGGAACAGTAATTGAGGGAAAAATATAGAGGGTGGCTAATAATTCAGGAGGGCTAATAATGCTGACTTCAACTGTACATACAGTATGCTCAAAGGTAGATTTGTTGAACTGCAAATACTTCACCGGGTAGTAACGACACTTGTTGGGTCTTTGTTTTAAAGTTTGTAAAGAATTATATTGAACTACTTTAGACTTTACTGACAATAAATGTCTGACCAAACACACCAGTTTGTAATTATCAAGTGCTGCTTTAGGTACTATAAATTGGTTCAGGTGTGTTTGATCAGGGTTGGGACTGAATTCTGCAGGAAGGTAGCTCTCCAGGAACAGGGTTGGTGACCCCTGATTTGGGCTGCGTCCGAAACCGCCTGCTACTCAGTAGGTACTGCATTTGAATTTAAACGTACTACTCGGCCGTTAGAAAAGTACGTTCTATACAGTATGAATGTGAAAAGTATGAATGTAATCCGGACGTGCTACATCCACCATTTTGTCATGGTCAAGTGACCTACCTGCGTCAGTTGCATCGCCTCACTTCAATTCATTAATTCTCTCACGGGGCATTATGGGATAGCGCAGCGTGCATGGGATGCGCACTTCAGAATCTCGCCGGAAGTAGTAAGTCATCCGGGTACTTCTCGCCTACTGATTTTTCTAATTCTATGAATTCGGACATACTACTCGGCTTGCATACTGATTTTAGCGTACTATATAGTATGGAAGTATGCGATTTCGGACGCAGCCTTGGAATCACCTAACTGAATTGGGTAGAGATGTCAGATGTAATGGCAGCCATTTTGGTGTCGACCAATAAATGCTTACTTTTAATTTTATCATTATCAATGTCAGACAAAATTGTAATTTTAGTGCATCTTTAAAATTAGTCATATAATTAATTTATGTTTTAAAAATATATTTGATTAAAACTTTGTTTGCACAACCTTTAAAATCTAAAAAGTACAGGAAAAAGCAGAATAAAAGTGACTTGCAGAAGCACTTTGCTTCTGTCAAAAATGTCCTTTTTCCATTTTTCCTGCACTCTTCAGTTGTAATGGTTATGGTCTTGGTTAAAATGTGTAAAAAGATATTTTTGCTCTTAAGATCTGTAGAAAATGCCAGTTTGGATTTTTTTAGTGTTGTGTATGTAGTGTAAAGTATAAAACTATAAACCTTTGAGCTTAAGAGTGTAACAAAGCATCTTTTTTTTCCCTTCAGCCACCTATGCTGCTGCTGTTCTCTACAGAACTGCTGAGGACAAAAACCCAGACTATAAGAAAAGAGTTTCAGTAGAACTCACACACTCACTCTTCAAACACGACCCTGAGGCTTGGGAAATGGTGAGTTTGCCCTCTGGTGCTGTGGAGCTGTCATAACAGAAATATGTTAGTGTGTTATTTGAATGCAATGTTACGCAAGTCTGAATAAAAATAACTAGACTATTACTTTAAATGTATAACCCATCACAGTTGCATAATGTTACATATTGCCCATGGAAAAGATATTTTGCAAGATAGAAAAAGTTCTTACTTCATTGGTCAAAATTTAATTCCTATCAACTATCATTCACTTCAATATCAAACTTATTTGCTAGGCAGGTAGGTAGGTGGGTATATGGATGGATGGATGGATGGATGAATGGATGGATGGTTGGTAGGTTGTATGGTTGGTTTGTTGGTTGGGTGGGTGGGTGGTAGGTAGGTAGGTAGGTAGGTAAGTAGGTAAGTAAATGAGTAAGTAAGTAAGTAAGTCAGTAATGGAATTTTGACATGGCATTTTCCAGGCCTGAAAAGTTTTGGAAAAGCAGAAAAACCCACAAAGTTTTGGAAAAGTCATGGAAATTACATTTACATTTAGTCATTTAGCAGACGTTTTTGTACTTGCGAAATTCTGTCGTATGGTGCAGCGAAAAGGGGTGGGGTTAAACAATATGACTAGACATTGATAAACATGAGCGATTGCTCCATGTTTTAAATTTCTTTTATATTTTATATAAGTTATCTTTCATTATTTTATATAAGTTTTATACATTATTTTATATAAATTTTATATAAAATTTCATTGGTCTAACTGATGGGATTTCGCAGGTAAGAATTCAAGAAGCGTGAACTTTCGAATGCAGTAAAATGCAAAACTTGTCGCACATGCTTGCGTTTCTGGTCTGCCGCATTCGCATACCTATGAATGTAGGTCTATGGTGCGAAAAGTGCAGTGTGATCGCAGCTTTACAATAAAAGTTGTTTAACCTACTATTATTATTTTAACAAACTATTAACGTCATCTAAAATTATTTTGACAAATATCTGTATACTGGAATGGAGGTGAAATGTTTTTACATTTCTTTGCCAAAAACATGGTTTTACATTATTAGTGCTGTGTTAGCATCATCTATCTTACATAAATCTACAAAGAAATTGAAACTAAAGAGATTGTTGCCTGTTTTATGATATGCTGTAATAAATTTAAATGTGCATTGTTTTTTTTATTATTTACCATGTATACATAGACATTACATGAAACATTACATCATAAAAATTGACTTGAAAGTCCTGGAAAAGTCATGGTATTTTTATAGTAATAATGTGTATAAACCCGATGGATGGATGGATGGATGGATGGATGGATGGAAGATAGATAGATAGATAGATAGATAGATAGATAGATAGATAGATAGATAGATAGATAGATAGATAGATAGATAGATAGATAGATAGATAGATAGATAGATAGATAGATAGATAAATAGATAGATAGATTACAAGTAACACCAACTTTATGCTTGCAAAATTAAAACTGTATTAAATCTTTCTTTATCATAAGCACTAAATATAACATGTAATTGTGATATTGTGCTTGAAATTAGCCAAAAATGCTGAATATTTATACTTTTAAGAATTAAAATTTCCAAAAAAAAAAAGCCAAATGGTAACAGCACAATGGCATAAATCTCAACACACATGCTAATTTATCAAAGAAACCTGTACATGGACTACAGGTATTGACCGTTTTCTTGTTACATTTTAGGCACACAACACTGTGATGGATCCCGTCCTTGGCGATGAAGGTCAGTAGTGTCCTTATCAAGAATGTTCCATTCAGTTCTCTCCATGTCTGTCACTTAACAGTCTGAAATGCATTGCTCACTCTGCAGAGATCAGATCATTGTACAGACAGCTAACATTTTGATATTTATTTTGTCTTTTGCGATACAGAGCTTGATGGCTACGGTCCTGCAGGATACGGTGGATATGCTGATGGCATGCATATGGATCCTCTAGATCCAGAAATGCAAGACGATTATAGGGGCGGCATGCCCTACAACTCCATGGCCAGAGTCTACCATGATTACTAACAGGTTAGTTTAACTCTTTATACCTTATTCACACGTGGTATTACCATTTCATTTTTGTTGATCTGATCACAAGTGGACAAAACAAGTCACATCACTGTTCATTTAAAGGTTCTGTGAAATTAAAAGAAAGTTTTTAAGATTTTACAATCAGTATGCTAGCTTAAATGATGTCTGTGAGCTAGTGTGCTCCAAAACTGTGACAATTTGCGTTTAGAAGATATAGACAGCCAAAGATTTCAGTTCGTCACTTCTGCCTAAATTGATCAAGGATTTTATTCGCATCACTTCATACTTCAGTTTCTTAGCAAATCTTGACCAATCAAATGCTCTGTAATATCTGACATGCCCCGCCCCCTTTAAAGTACTTGTCATTTGGTTTTCATTTGATTCACATGTTCTTGGCAGAGCTGTGAGAAAAACGAAACACTATTGGCAGTTTTTTTAAAAGGGGGAGGAGCTGCTGGATGACAACTGTCTCTTCATGTTTTGGTTCAGATTATGTAAATTTCAAAACACTTCACGGGACATTTAAAGTTTTCCACAGCTATTTTGTCTACTGAAGCAGCTTAGCTGAGCTACTTTTATAATACTTAGACAGGTACAAAGTTAAAAGTTAAAAGATTTTAGGCCTTAAAAGTCCTAATATTTATGAAATATTGTGTTGTAGGTCCTAAATAATGTTGATCAGGTCTTTATTTGCCATTGTCCATGTACACCTACCCAACTGGGACAACATTCGTCCAATCACCAACAACTAATGTGTTATTTATTAACTGTATTTTCCAATATTGTTCAATTATTTTCTTTACAATAGCATTTGTTAAAGAGTTCTATATGTATTTATAGCTACCTGAGCTTTTAAAACTTGTCAGACTTAACTTAATTTTCAAAAAAAAAAAAAAAGAAATTAGGCCTAAAAATCTTAAATTCACTCAAATATTGTGTTGTAGGCCTTAAATCATTTTAAACAGGTCATTTTCCATTGTCCATGTATAACTACCTAATGGGCTATATGGACAGCTAGTGCTTTTCAGCTAATGATAAACCTTCAGTGAAAGGTTTATGTGACTATTTTTAATTAATGTGGTTCTTTTTACAACAACAATGATGTAATGCAATTAAAATATAATCCGTTAAATAGACTTAAGCATTCATTTAGTTGTTCAAGCGTAAAACAAGATGAAAGACTCTGTAAACACTAGCTCAAAAACTCCATTGAAAGTCCTGGGGTAAAATAAATGTTCATATTTTAAAGATATGGTGGGGAAAATGGAGTTTAATGCAGTGCTTCTTATCCAGTCTGATACTCACTAAATATTGTATACGTGTCAGGCTGTGAAGATGACCAATTTTTAAAGAAATCAGAAAGTGGCGATTTAATGGAAAGACTAAAAATTAAGTCTGTATGCATATACCGCATTGGGACAACATTCATCCAGTCACCAAAAACAAACCTTTTATTTATTCACTCTACCAATATTTAAAAATATTGTTCAATTATCTACTTTACAAAAACATTTCGTCACCTTAGAATTATAAGGTTCTATCTGACATTTTTGCCAAAATTGAGTTATTGACATATTCTTATTAAATGACAACTTATTTACATTATGGGATGTTTTTTATAAGTTGTTTACATTTTAAGTCTTTTTATTTAAAAATTAAATGTTACTACAAACTGTTTCCTATGAAATGCAAAAACTTTGAAGCTCATCATCTCAAAATCATTCAAAAAGCAGATAGACCCTTTCAATTCCAAGGTGACGATTTGTTTAAAAGTTTTATATGTTTTATAGCTACCTGGTCAGGACACTGAACTGGACATACATTTAGTTTATTATAGTTTAAAAACTTGTCCAAAAATTATAACTTTAACTTTAATAATAACTTTGTTAGGATTTTGATTTCTAGGAGACATTATTTGAAATATGTGTCTAAGAAAAAAAGCCATTAGAATATTTTTAAGTTAAAAATAAAAATTTAACTTGCCCATTAGAAAATATCTTTAGCATTTATAAGTATAAGAAAGAAACTTAATTCATAATGGTCTTAAACAGTTGTTAGTTTGAGTTTCAGAAACTTCATGTGACAGACCCCAGATTGGATTTGTCAATTAAAACTTGCTCTGCAACCCGAAGTTTGTTCAACTCGTTTTGTGCAACAGGCCCCAGTTATCATTCAAATACTCCACAGGTGTCACAGCCAGTTTCTGAATGGCCGCAGCTCTGCACAGTTTAGTTTCAACCCTAATTAAACACACCTAATCAAACTAATTGAGTCCTTCAGGCTTGTTTGAAACCTACAGGTAAAGCTGCCGTCACACTGCACTTTTCTCCCCATAGAATTCCATTCATACGCACACGAATACGTCAGACCGGAAACGCAAGCTCATGCTCGTTTCATACTTTGTGCGTTGCAAATTTCAAGCTTGGTGAACTCTGACCTGCAAAATTGCATCACTTGACTGCGTGAGACCAATTGAGGATCAAAACATGAGAAATTTAAAATATGTTTAATCCTGCCCCTTGTCACAGCGCCGTATGACAGAATTTTACAAGGTCAAACTCTAGTGTGAACACTGCATAAGTATGTTGGAGCAGGTTTGGAACTAAACTGTGCAGATATGCAGCCCTCCAGGAACTGGCTTTGACACCTGTGAAATCTTCAAACAGGTTTGGTTTTAAGAGCTGAAGTCTAACCGCATTGAATGTTTTGTGTTTATTTCACAGCCTGACGGTCAACTGACCTCCACTGGAAGAGGATTATCAAAAACACAAGAGACCTAATCTTCTGGCAAAGTGTTTTGTTTTGTTTTCCATTGCTGGGTGCCTGTGGTCCATTTCTCAGTAAACACACACACACACACACACTGACACTGTTGTAATATATGCAATTCTCACTTCTGGGGAAGGCAGAAGCCTTGAGCGCATCTTTACCCTGCCTTTATTATACAAGGATTGACAGCATGTTGTATTTTACACGTCTTTTTGTAGAGAATGTTCTATTTTAGTGTTTTCTTATGGGTGCATTAATACTTTGTTGGTGAGAGGACTGGTTAACTATGCCAAAGAGATTTTATTATGATATTTTATATCGATAATCACGTTGCTTTTTTATAGTTTTAAGATTTTGGAGAAAATCAATCAACAATTTAGACTTGGAAGTCAGCTTTATAGCTTCATTCACTGTGTTTTTAGGTGAGAATAGCTGATCTGAAATCAGCTGTATATGAGTGGAAATGTCTGGCGTGTTGATTTCTTGAGCGCTTACATCTCAATACAGTCCATCTCCATATTTGTTCCTTCACTGAGACTGGATTTCTGATGTGTGAGATTGTTTCCCGCCCTTTTTCTTCACTCCATTATATTTGTTTTGCTGCAACTGTCTTAATGTATAGACAAGAAAATACTGATTTTAGTCTTGCGACGCAGTTTGTGTGGAGATTTTTTTATTATTTACGTGAATAAATGCCGTGCTGATTAAAAGGGACTAATGTGTAACTAAAACCTTAAAAGTCATGAATGCTAGCTTTACAGTTGTTTTAATATTAACTCATAGGAGGCGAGTTGAACAGACAAAGGGATCCTTTGTAGCATTTTTACTTCACACTTTGTCCAAAAAAATAAATAAAACCATGCTACCTAATCGCTTGTGGTGAACTTTCAATTTTCGTCAGTTGGGCCAATAAAAGAATGTAAAACAAACTTTTGGTTTGTGTCCAGTAGGACTGCACACTGCGGCATCAATATCGCAATGTGCACATCTTCAGTAGTCACATCGCAGGATCTGCAATGAGGAATCTGTATTGTAACGGAGCAGGAGCCACGTTTGAAAACACTCATGATTTGTGGAATCATTGAATCATGAAGTTAACAAAACATTTATCATTCATCTGTGTTCTCATCATTTAAGGGGGTTTAAAGTATTCACGCATACGGAATTACATTTTTTTTACGTACTTTATGAAAGTTTTTTTGGATGTATATATATATATATATATATATATACATACATATATACATATATATATATATATATATATATATATATATATATATATATGTATATGTATATATGTATATATGTGTGTATATATGTATATATGTGTGTATATACACATATATATGTATATATGTATATATGTATATATATGTATATGTATATATATGTATATGTATATATGTATATGTATATATATATGTATATATATATATATATATATATATATGTATATATATATATATGTATATATATATATGTATATATATATATGTATATATATATATGTATATATATATATATATATATATATATATATATATGTATATATATGTATATATATATATATATATATATATATATATATGTATATGTATGTATATGTATGTATATGTATATGTATGTATATGTATATGTATATATATATATGTATATGTATATATATATATATGTATATGTATATATATATATATGTATATGTATATATATATATATATGTATATGTATATATATATATATGTATATGTATATATATATATATGTATATATATATATGTATATGTATATATATATATGTATATGTATATATATATATATATATGTGTATATGTATATATATATGTATATGTATATATATATATATGTATATGTATATGTATATATATATATATACACACACACATACACACTAACCGGTCACTTTATTAGGTACACCTTATTAGTAAGGAGTTAGACCCCCTTTCGACTACAGAACTACCTTAATCCTTCGTGCTATAGATTCAACAAGATACTGGAAATATTCCTCAGAGATTTTTGTCCATATTGACATGATGGCATCACAGTTGCTGAAGGCTGCCCATCTATGATGTTGACGCCAATTTCTGAGCGAATGTCACAGCTGAATTTAAGACCGGGCAACGTTTTTCCAATCGTCTATTGTCCAAAATTGTTGAGCCTCTGCGAATTGTAGCCTTAGTTTCCTGTTCTTAGCTGACACAACTGCCGCTCACTGGACATTTCCTCTTTTTCGTACATTCTCTGTAAACCCTAGAGATGGTTGTGCGTGAAAATCTCAGATCAGCAGTTTCTGAAATACTTAGACCAGCCTGTCTGGCACCAAAACCCTGCCACGTTTAAAGTCACTTTAAATCACCTCTCTTGCCCATTCTGATGCTGTTTGAACTGCAGCAGATCATCTTGCCCATGTCTACATGCCTAAATGCATTGAGTTGCTGCCATGTGCCTTATTGTTGGGGAATGGATGTGTAAATTATTATAGACAAGCTGTACCAGTATCAGCGTTGGGTATGTTACTTTATGAAAGTAAATATTTACTAATTACATAATTAAAATTGGATTTAAATTACTATTCTATTTCTTTCCTAAAGTAATTGACTGAATACTAAAAATCCCTATAAATCTTGTTGACAACAGAAATTAAACTCCTCTCTAAAAAGGAATTTTTTTTTTTAAACACCAACACTTTTAAAGTAGACAATATTGTCACAGTCAATTTCTTACTTGTTTTTATTCAAATTTACACATGTAACCTTTAGTTGAAGCAGAAATATTTGTATAACCAAGTTCTTTTTGGTTTTGTTTGACATCTCTGAATCGTTCAATTTATTTACAGTATTTGAAAAGTCAAGTACATTGTAAGGAACTGTACCTAGACTAAATGACAAATTAAAAGCAATCCCCTCATTTTTTTGGAGAAGTAATGTAATGTCATTACACCCGAGACTGATGCTAATAGTATATCCACCATAGACTTTAGCCATTTGAATTCTTCAGGGGTCACAAACAGTCATGAAAATAGTCATTTTTACAAGCCTTTCAACTTTAAAGATAATAAATTACTCAAATCAGACTCAGGATCAAACTCATGTACATTCTGCTTTATTAAAAGAGTACACCCATTCAAAAACATTACAAAACTGATGTACAAAATGTAATAGCAGCCAATGTCAACTGTTAAACATGAAATATGGATTCATAAACATTTAGAAACCTGAAAGAAAACATAAAACGGCCCTACATTTAGAAAGGCAGGTAAAAATGTTTGACACAAACATAATAAAGTGACGTTAACCCTTTTGGATCAGATCATCCCTCTCTGCAATAAAATATCTCATTTTAAAACGAGACCTTCACAGTCAAGAAATAAAACATTTAGAGGAATGAAGAAAACATAAAATCATTAAAAAAAAAAAGGTTAAAATCTTATGTGGATTACGGCAAACCAGCCGCTAATATGCTTCCAAGGAGAGTTCGATCCTTTAAAGCATGCTCCACATCTCGCTCTTCAATCTTCAAGGAGATCTAGAAGCCAAAGAGAGAATATGTATATTTAAACCACCAAACAGTTAAATCAGTTAACAATTTCATACAATTTACTAATAAACAAATAATGAACATTTTATTACTTTATAGTGTTTATCAGAGCTGCACGATTCTGGTTAAAATAAGAATCACGATTTTTTTGGTTAAAAATCAAGATAACAATTTACTCACAATTTTGTCGATGTAAAATAAGGGATGTAAACTAATTTCGAGAGGAGCACGTGATATAATTGACTGCAGCTGGCCTCCTATCTTCACTCATTAGTTAGCCAATCAAATCTATTGCAACTCACTATAAGTAGCGTAGCTAGGTGTACTCCCCCCTTATCTTCGTTGTCCAAAGAAACCCCCCATCCACCCCTTTCTCCTCCTTTAAAAAAGGGAGCTCTCGAGAACCACCTGATCTCGTACTCCCCTCACATGCTCTATAGACCTGGCGGGAGCCCTGGACTCAACTATCTCCGAGCTCAGGGTTCTCTCCCGGGACAGTACGCCAAACCTGCTAACAGTTGTCAAGCAATATCTAAATGCGAACTCTTGAAACATATGATTGAACAATAATAATAATATTATGTGTAGGTCTACTATTGGCCAAAATAATCAATTTTGAATAGACTTTAAATTTGACCTGGTCATTAAAGCACAGTAATGACATCAGAATAAAACTATTCCTAATTCTGAAGTTGAATTGTTATGTTTGAGACGTATGCTTGCAATCCGTCTCTGACAACATTAATAGACCATTTTTATCTACTGGTAAAATCAGACATTTGTTACTATCAGATTCCCTCTTGTATTATATTCAACAGTGTATAGGCTGGAGTAGTTATACAGACACTGTAGTTACATCATTACATGAAGACAGAAATTACATTTTTGGGTGAATTATACCTTATAAATACAGTATGTGACTTGCAACACCATTTGCAGGTGTCCATGTCGCTGAGCAATGCATGTAAAACAATGTAAAGACTGCCCTTACGCTTCTCTCCTGAACTTGAAAATATGACTGGCAGAATCATAGAAATGCTGGATTAAATAAATCTTGGGGGGGGAATTGAGATCAAAATTGATTTGATTAATCGTGCAGCCCTATTGTTTATTTATCTTTAAATGGCACCTATTTTACCCCTTTATCAAGATTTAACAAATGTCTTTTGTGTCTCCAGAATGTGTCTGTAAAGTTTCAGCTCAAAACACCCATCAGATGATTTATGATCTCTTTTTAACTCTGGGGAATTTGAGCTGTTGGAACACTGTAGCTGTTTTTGTTGCCTGTGCATTTAATGCAAATGAGCTCATAGGTGCCCTTTAAAGGTCTAATTATACTTCTGTGTCAAGTGTGCATGGTAGATCCACACTTAATAAAATTGATCTACATGTCACAATAAATGTACATTAACTCATTTTCATCATGCAATAATAAATGTTGAGCTATGCTTAAATTCTGTACATATATTCTTCCTTTTAAGATTATGTTATAAAGACATTGACTAACAGAACTTTTATTGTAATGATGGAAAAAATATGTCCATTTAGTGAAATGACGAATCATAGCCCTTACTTTAGTCAGTCGAGCGTCCTTGGCCTTTTTGAGAGTGAGGATTCCCCTGCTCTCCAACAGGCTGCAGAGAGAGAGACACTCCGTCTGGCCGACTCCACCAACCTGCCTCTGCTTACACAGCTTACTGTACACTTCACACAGCTGGAGGAACACAAAAGATCATCAGACCCAGAAGAAGAAAACACTTCATCTATTCTCAATATTCTGCAGTGCTTCCCATAGACCTCTGCTCTAATTGTGGCAGCAACACAAATACATAAATGCGGAGTTATTTCAAATGTTTAGCCATTACATATTACAAATGTAGAAATACCAAAACGGTATTAACAGATTTTATGTCACATTGTGTTCATGGACTTAAGGAAATATCTGTCTTTTTCCATTTTAAAAGTGCAAGGTTTAAAATATTGGGAACCACTGGTCTACGCTTTTGTGGTGGTCAGTGTGTATAGTGTGGCAGCAAATAAATATATAGGAGACGCTGTTATGCTTTTAAAAAAAAAAAATTTAAAGATCAAATTGACTCACCTTGCCCAACTGGGTCTCTTTACTTTTGCCGTTGCGGATGATCAAAAGCAGGCAGCAGACCAGAAGTTTCTGCTGTAAAGGAAAGCTCTCGCCATCTCCACTACTGGATGCCATACGGTCACCATAAACCTCTGACAAAACCCGAGCCACTTGAGGAACACTCACTCTCGACACTGTAACAAGACAAATGCATCGTTTAATTTGCTTTCTAATAATGCATTCAAATGATAATACACTATGAGTGTCAAGATTAATTGTTTCTTTGCTGCACCGCGATGCATACACAAACAATTAGGTATCAGTTCAGTAATAATCATAACCGGTTGTTGTGTACTGACATCATTTATCATTTATGTGTTATATGGTGGTAGCTTACTATGGCGAGGGTGGAGACCGCAAGTAATTAAAACACTTTAAACAACTTAAAAAGCAGGCAACTGTGCACAATTCACTGCTTGTGAGTTTGCTGGACAGTCTTTCACTGACAGAAAAATACATCAAAACACAGCTAGGAAAAAAAAAACTAAAGCTCATGGTTTCCACTACATTCATTCTTCGATGGCCAGGCGCCACGCCAAAATTCATCCTGCTACGGCTACATTACAGCTTCTCATTCAAAAAATTCAGTCGTGTTATTATTATTATTTTTTTTAAATTGCACCAAAACGTGTTAGAAGGTTAGTGAATTATAACAGCGCAAACTTCTCTGTAACCATAGTAGTGCTGTGCGTTATTTGTTTAACTCTTAAAGGTTATGTGCTGACTGACTGACAGTTGAGTGAGGCCAGCAAACATGACGTATAGCCCTCTCACTTTACTTCAGGACGCATTAAAACCTCTCTGTAGGTCTACTGGAAACATTCATAAATATTCCTAGCAAATCTAATAAATGTTGAAGACATACTCGTTACATAAACACACTAAATCACACTTCAGCAGTGTTTATTTAAGAGCGCACAAGAAGATCTGTACTTGAGCAGCGTATATTTGAGGGAGCGTGCTAGATGCACGAGCAGAGGACATCGGTACGCAAGCAAAGAGATTCTCATGCTCATAGACTATTGCAAAAATGCGATCTCGACTTGTGATACTGCGCTCACGACATTTGTCATTGAAATAACGCCACAGGTAAGCTGGAGGAATCCTAGAGGAAACACAAAAGCTGTCATCTCTGTAAAATATGGACTGTAAATTCCAAGTAAAATATCAAATTATTTATGAAAAGCAACGTCAATGCACCGTAGTGTCGAATTGAACCAAATCGTTGGCATGATTATCGTAACCGAACCGTGAGGTCACAGTAGGTTCACACCCCATTACACCAATAACAAATAGTTTCACTGCAATGTAACTAGTCAACAAAAGTCAAATTGGCTGTGTGCAAGTAAAATAATTTTTAAAAACTAGTCTAAAATAAGACAAAAACTATTCGGTTTTTAAAACTATAGTTCTTCAAAATGGAAATTTACTCTCCCTCAAAAGGTTAGAAACCTTTATGAGTTTCTTTCTTTTTATCTAGTTTACCACTAATGACATTTGGAAAAATGCAGAAAACCTGCAACCAGACTTTCATAGCAGCAAAAACAAATACTTTAATCATAAATCAATGGGTACAGGTTTTGGGATTTATTCAAAATATCTTGTTTAACAATAGAAAGAAACAATAAGAGATGGCAATTTTCAATTATAGTAACTTGATTAATTAAAACTTGTGATTCCAAATGTAAAAAAAAAAAAAAAAAAACTGACTTCTTTTTCACTTTTTATTGATTTTTTGAATTTTTAATTTCAGGAAAAAAAAGGTTTGCTAATGAATATAGAAGATATTCTTCACATATCTGCATATATTTTAGTCAAAAAAAGGCAAAGAACTACTGATTTGTTGATTACAGAATACTGCAATTACCGAATTCCACTATAACTTACTTGCATAAAACTAGAGATCTTTAATTCCCATTTTTAAAATGTTTTTATTTTTAGTAGGGAGAGGACAATGTTTAGAATATTTATGAACATTTAACTATATTTTGAATTAATTCAGAATACAACATTTCTACTCAGTGTTTTTTTCTCCTCTCTTCATTAATTTCTAACATGGTTATTCTTTTCTTTTAAAATACAGTACAGTAATTACTACCTTTAGAGCTGGCTGTAGGTTCGGATGCCATTTTAGACCTGTCGCCTGCTTCCACAATCTCCACAGCCCTCCTGATAGACAGACAAACAGATGTATGAGAACTTTACAAAACTCAATGACACTCTTGTGTTAGCCATTTATACAGTCAGTTTGTTCACCTGCAGATGTCCAGTGCTTTGCGAGCATCTCCTGACACAGCGGAGACTTTCCTTGCACAAAACTGAACTGCCGCTGCATCCAAAACCCCTTCACCTGATACCTAACAAACAAGAATGAACCAATGTATCATTAATTCTTATTAAGAAGCTCTCTGGAATAATTCATTCTGATTGGTCAAATCACAACATTTCAAGCTATGTTATTCCCAGATAACAATTGAATAAATTAATAATAGAGACTCATCAAGGTACTATGAATCATCTTGATCAATATAGAAACAAACACGCATCAGTTTTAGACTGAATAACAATTACAAGTAAAGGAGTGTAGACTACATCCAGACATTCTTTTTTTTCAGTAAGCTTTCGGTTTAACTTGAGCAGTTAAACATATACAGCTCAGATCAACATTTTGTGTCTAATGGTTTAATTGTGTTGCAAGTAGTTGTATAGTAAGCATTATTGGTAACATACAGTAGTCAACATTAGAAGTTGATCAAAAAAGTTCCTTAAAAAATAATAGCTGTTGTTCAATAGTTTTAGATTAACTTTGATGAAAAGTTGATCCACTTCAATTGTTGACTATTGTATGTCAAACTGCTAATAAGACTGTCGGACTTCACCTTACAAGAACAACCTTGCTGGATGTACGTTATCCCACAATGCACATCTAGTTAAGTGTGAATAAGCAAAAAATATCCAAGTAAACATACCTGTGTGAGTCTGTCCTGTACAATAGCATTGAGCTCTTCATGACTGTAGGGAGGAAAGTTGAGCAGTTTGGGACGACAGTGTGGTTTCGCCTGCAGTCTTGGCAGGATACGATCAGTCAAGTCCAGTGCATTAGCAATACCTAAAAAGTCAAAATGATTTCGTCAGCAGACAGTCATGACGATCAGATGTAGATGAGATCATTTAGCAGCAATCTAATTAGTTTTTAAAGGTCCACAAATTTGGCATGGCAATCTTACCGATGAGACAAACACGAGATTTGGGCAAGTAAGGCCACTCAAAAATGGTGTAGAGAACTTCTTGAGACTTGCTGTCCAACTGGTCCATCTCATCAAGAACCAACAAGCTGTTTGGAACAAATTTAAATCACATAAGCAAAGCTTTAAGATGGAGTACAAAAATAGACAGGTCACTTTCTGAATGGGAGCTTACACAGTGGGTCCAGAGCTGGTCAAATACTTCTCCAATCGTGCCTGACTGTTGCCTTTGGGAACCTCCAGTTGCTCTCCCAGCAATGGAAAGATGGCATGAGAGCTCCGCAAATTCATACAGTTGATGACCACAGTCTGGATGCCTTTTAACAGAGCCTGTAAATTCGAAGGGAAAAACACAATTTAAAAGTGGTACTATTTTATTTTTATGTTACACAAAGCAGTTTTTCCTGCAATTTCTTGATTTACAATCTTGCATATTACATATCACTATATTTTTCTTTTTAACGTTCTTAAAAAAAAAAGAAAAAAGACTATACTGATTAAATTAAAACAAAAAAAAAATTTAAGCTAAAAACTAAAACATTAATACTGTTGAATTGTTTTAAAATACTTCATTAATAAATTATTATACTACTAATTTATACTACTCATAATTCAGTGCCACATCCTATACATACAGTTGAAGTCAGAACTATTAGCCCCCTTTGATTTTTTTTTTCTTCTTTTTAATATATTTTCCTAATTATGTTTAACAGAGGAAATTTTCACAGTATGTCTGATACTATTTTTTCTTCTGGAAAAAATCTTATTTGTTTTATTTCAGCTAGAATAAAAGCAGTTTTTAATTCTTTAGACTCCATTTTAGGGACAAATTTATTAGCCCCTTTAAGCTATATTTTTGTTCGATACTCTACAAAACAAACCATCATTATACAATAACTTACCCAATTACCCTAACCAGCCTAGTTAACCTAATTAACCTAGTTAAGCCTTTAAATGTCACTTTAAGCTGTATAGAAGTGTCTTGAAAAATATCTAGTCAAATATTATTAATTGTCATCATGGCAAAGATAAAATGACTTATTAGAAATTAGTTGATAAAACTATTATGATTAGATGCGTGTTAAAAAAATCTTCTCTTCGTTAAACAGAAATTGGGGGAAAAAAAAAGCGGTCTAATAATTCTGACTTCAACTGTGCATCTATAAGCTGCGAAAATTATTATTTACGCACAAGACAGTTGCTGCTTGTTTTTGTGAACCAGTCATCATTTATTTTTCTGAATAGAGAGAGCAAAAGTATGTGTTAATAACGAAAGCTTTTATAATCCAAATAGATAAACATTTTTCAATTTAATGAAATAGAAGTACTCATGTGTGAATCTAAACAAAAACTAATGCATTGAGGGTGATTTAAAGACCTATTAACATCTAGTATTCAAATTTTGATTGATTTGGTCTATCAAATCTCAACTAAAGGAAGGCACATTCAGGACCTTAGAGTGGCAGATTCACAGTATTTTCATCTGGTCTTACCTTTTGTTCTTGGAGCACACAGTTCAGACAAGCCGTCTTGCCTGTGCCAGGAGCACCAGAGATGTAAAGGCTGGAGGGTTTTTCTGCCACTACGTGATTTTGCAGGAAGGAGACAATGGCAGCTCTCTCTGCCTCACGAGAGAGGAGACGTTCAGGTACTGCAGTGTGAAGAGCCTGCTTTACACTCTGAAAACCGGATTCTGCAGAGAAACCAAGACAGATCTTAATGATCGACTGCCAGAAATCAAGAATTATGACCAAAAATAAATGGATACTTTATTATTATCTAAACGAAACGCACTCTTTATAGGAAACAGTCGCGTAACAGGGCTCCTTCCCTCTGTACGGGGGATTATGTTGGTGCATGATGTCTCGTTCAGTCGTGTTGGCGATGGACGAGAAATGGGAGACAGAGGAACTTTGTGCGAGGACAGGATAGGACGGGGAGGTGAGGAGAGGACTGGTGTGTTCTCGTTGAAGGACAGCTTGCGAGGGGAGCACAGAGGAGCGCAGCGCTGCTTAGGGGGAGAGCCAAGCATGGAGGCTGGCAGGTTACAGCCATTCTCATCACCTGGAAAACAAAAACACTTTGTGAATAAAACATAATGCAAATGCAGAAAACAAAATGGCTGTTTAATGGAGATGATTAACACACCTGTGCGTTTGCGGGGGCTCAGAGGCAGCCTTTCAGACAAAGGGGAGTTTAACACCTTGTTCCTGGGAGATTGACAAACACCGAGTGAATTTCCCACAATTGCCTTTCTAGGGGACAAAGGGGTGGTCTTATCGTCCACTTTATTTTCGCAGGAGCTTTTAGGCCGAGACCCCAATCTGGAAGACTTCCTTCTAGGGAACTGTAGAGTTGGCTGATTCTGTGAGCGAGTGCTGGGCATTTTTATGTTTAAAACCAGGAAGCAAATCTGAAAAAGGACAGTGGTATTTTAGTCCAAATAAATAAATAAATAAATATACACACACAAATATTTCCTGAAAAAACTTTTGTAGCATTCAGTTTTTGATTTAAACAAAAAAAAAACATTAACAATTGAGGTAAAGTTGGTTTATATATTCGAACATTCGTTAATTTGTGAACAGTAACACGGTCACTAAAGTGTTTACCACGCTAACTTTAAATACTCGGTCTGATAACGTTACCCCAGGCAAGTATTACTTCAAAACAGCATTACCACAATTTACAACGTTGTACCTTGATTGTCCGTATTTACTTTGATTTTCCTTTTTATAATTACAATAAAATACAATTCTGAATGTGGATAATTAAGGTGCAAGTCCGAATGTGCGAACATAAACTAATTTTACCTCAATTCAACACCCCCAACCACGAGGAATTTAGCAAATAAGTGTAAAATTTCCCTCCAAGTTAATTAGCATAAAAACGCTTTTCTGACCTAAAACCTGCTAAAGCTTTTTAACGTTAATATAACTAGATGACTTTTAAGATTTTGCACATTTCAGTCATTTAAAAAAAATTATACCTTACACTAATTTGATTTGAATCTAACTTACACACGCTTTACAGTCATTTTAATAAAAAGGAACAACGCTCACACTACCGAATGTAACAGTTAATCCACTAACTTACCACTATACAAATAAACAAAAGCTCTTATTTATGGCACATTAAAGCGAAGACTTCCAAAATTTGTAAATTAAAAGCGAGTAGTTTCTGTTGTGGGTAATTTGGCGCCAAGCTGTATATTCACGCGCTAAATATAACGCTGAATAAAAGCTGATTTACTCAATAAATGCTGTCTAACAGTGTTTTTAGAACTATAGAATTAATACATGCTAATGTCTTACCTTTAAATAGTTGAATTTGTTGACTGTGTGTGCTATAATCAAAAGCTGTAGTTTCTCTGCTCCTGAAACCGACTTCCTCCGCCGTCAAACTAGCGCCAAATGTGATGTTGTGAACTCCTTCTCGGATCAGCTGGTGCGTTGGTATGTGACGTACATCCTACAACAACCGCATTTCATTGGCTCTCGAAGGTCCTCTTGTTTTAGGAACCAATAGGATTCCTATTAGTCCCTTCCCCCCCAGTGGTTTGACTGTAAAGGCGGGTGTCGCTTTGTTGGCGTTTGGCGGAAAAATTTTCCCGGTAAATATGAAGATTATGTTTTGGACAGCGGGGTTTTAAATGGTGTAAAAACCGAAGGCAAGTGTAATCTTTTTAACTTCTATTTTCACTCTTAATTAAATTTGTTTTAATCGCGCTATTGTGGACTATGTTTTCCTGTTAATTCGTCTTAGCATAAGTTAAGGGTTTAGCATGTCTCAAATGCATAGATTTAAAATATATTCCAGTAAAAATAATTATCTAAAACATATATAAGCAATAAAGACCTTTTTCACAACACAAACAAAATATGTATGCCTGAAATAACAAATATTATATTTGTTTTTTAACTGCTTGTTATTACAGGAAAAAAAACTTATAAATAATATAATAAATAATTAAAACATTTTTTTCCCAAGTAAAAGAATTTTTATAAATGCAATACATATACATGTAAATATTTAGTGTTGGTAAATTGACTCTTAGTTGATGACATTAACTTTATAAAGTTGAATTGTTGCCAATAAAACATTGTTTTCCCCTCACCAACTCCTGAGATATTGGACAACACCCCCTATCCACAAATTATACCTGCTATAGGCTTAAATATTTAATAAAAAATGTATATACCTTAAATTGCAAATGTTATGATAGATTAATAATTGAATTAATTTAACACCACACCTCTTTTAGTTTGACTTTATCATCATTTATAAAATTTATAGCATTTTTCATTTTCTCACTACATCTAAAACAGTGTTTCTAAATTCTGTCATTCATATGACATTTAATAGACAAATATTACTTTATTAATAAAAAGTCATTAGTTTTACCAAAAGCAACACTCTTGTATTGTTTTTCAATTACATGCATGTTCCATCAAAGTTGTCCCCATTTTATTCATTCATTCATTTTCTTTTCGGCTTATTCCCTTTATTAATCCAGGGTTGCCACAGCGGAGTGAACCGCCAACTTGTCCAGCATGTTTTTATGCGGCGGATGCTCTTCCAGCTGCAACCCCCCTCTGGGAAACATCCACACACAGTCATTAACACTCTTACACTACGAACAATTTAGCCCACCCAATTCACCTGTACTGCATGTCTTTGGACTGTGGAGGAAACAGGAGCACCCGGAGAAAACCCACACAAATGCAGAGAGAACATGCAAACTCCACACAGAAATGCCAACTGACCCAGCCGAGGCTTCAACCAGCGACCTTATTGCTGTGAGGCGACAGCACTACCTACTGCGCCACTGTGTCTCCCCTTCAGACTTTAATTAGATTGTAATATTTGACTGTATGAGGGGCATTTACTGAGTAAAAGCTGGTTTTGTATTTACACATTTAGAATTTCTCCTCAATAATATAATTTCAGAAAGGTTTTCTTTGCAAGTGCTAAATATTGAAATCATATTAGGCAATGGCTATCATAGTACAACGTTGGTCAGTCAAATAATTAGTGCTAATGTTTATTTGAAGTCATACTAGCTATGATTTTAGACTGAATATTCAAAGTACCATGGTAAAGGGCCATGAAACCCCTCGTTTCAGCAGGATGTTTTCACACCTTTAGTTTAAAAAAAAAAGTCAGGAAAGAGGGTGTCTAGCTTTGTTTGGGTGGGAGTGTCGGTGGTGGGAAAATGGGCAGGGTTTAAATAAAAATGGGAGTTGCCATTTGGGCCATTCAGTCTATTACTGCAAATATTCGCATCAAACATGTTTAGGTAGAGGGCGTGGCAGTGGAGCAGTATGTAGTGCTGTCGCCTCACAGCAAGAAGGTCGCTGGTTCGAACCTCGGCTCAGTTGGCGTTTCTGTGTGGAGTTTGAATGTTCTCCCTGCCTTCGTGTGGGTTTCCTCCGGGTGCTCCAGGTTTCCCCCACAATCCAAAGACATGCTGTACAGGTGAATTGTGTAGGCTAAATTGTCAGTAGTGTATAAGTGTGTGTGTGAATGTGTGTTTGGATGTTTCCCAGAGATGGGTTGCGGCTGGAAGGGCAGCCGCTGCGTAAAAACTTGCTGAATAAGTTGGCGGTTCATTCCGCTGTGGCGACCCCGGATTAATAAAGAGACTAAGCCGACAAGAAAATGAATGAATGAATGTTTAGGTAGATTTTAACTGTATGTCAGCAACATCATTCAGTTTCTGAAGAAATTATTAAATTATCTTTTTTGAAACAGGCTGCATTAGCATCTAGCATTAACAGAAAAAAAACATAAAGGCTATTACATAAACTACATATATTTTGTAAAAGAAATGCTTAAAATGACAGTAAATGTCGATTTCATTGGATTTTCTTAAATCTAACACTTGGATAAAAAAAACGTTTAAAAATGTTCTATAAAAATGTTTGATAAAACTAAATTAAAATTTAATCAAGTAAAATTGCCCTAATAACTTTTTTCATCACCCTTGACAAATGTCACATTTTGTGTCTTTTTTGTTGACTGATGGCAAGGAATAGTACTCTACATGCAAGATATAAATACATTATTATTAGATCGGTTGTTTGTTTTAATGGAGTTTAATGGAGAAGATTTTTTTAACACATTTCTAAACATAATAGTTTTAATAAGTCATGTCTAATAACTGATTTATTTTATCTTTGCCATGATGACAGTAAATAATATTTGACTAGATATTTTTCAAGACATTTCTATACAGATTAAAGTGACATTTAAAGGCTTAACTATGTTAATTAGGTTGACTAGACTGGTTAAGGTAATTAGGCAAGTTATTGTATAACGGAAGTTTGTTCTGTACACTATTAGAAAAAAATTAGCTCAAAGGTGCTAATAATTTTGTCCCTAAAATGGGTTTTAATAAATTAAAAACTGCTTACAATCTAGCCGAAATAAAACAAATAAGACTTTCTCCAGACCAAAAAAATACTATCAGACACACTGGGAAAGTTTCATTGCTCTGTTTAGCATTATTTGGGAAATATTTTAAAAAAGAGAGAAAAAAAAAAACAGAATATCGTTCCCTTCAAATTATTTATAACTCTTTATGTGGTTTAAATGTGTGGCTGATACTCTCTTTGGCATCTTTTAGCTTTCAACCAGATAAAGTGCTGGAGGGTCCAAAAAATATTTCAAATCTCATCTGGGAAATATAACTCGATGCATCTTGCGGCAGAACACATACATTGCAACAAGGCATTATGGGATTGACATGGTTGCAGAACAGAAATGGCTCAGGAAGAGGTTTGCATTCTTCAAGGATGGAGAATATAAAACAACACCTACATAAAAATATACATCTCCTATTTTATTTGTATTGTTGTTTTTTCGAATATGAATATGTGCCTGTTATTATTTCTGTGCCAACAGCGCCCCCAGCTGGACAGAGTATGGTCATATCAAGTCAAATCTAAAACTTAAGACCGCTTAAAATGTATAAATTGTTTTTTAAATAGAGAAAAAAAATTATATATATATATATATATATATATATATATATATATATATATATATATATATAATTAAACCATATATTTGGAGAAAATTACATTTTTTTAGACTTGTATAAATTTTTTATTCTACTTTGCACAAACACAAAAATTTAATTCTTTCCAATATTTAAGGTCTGGAAATATAGAAAATGTAGTTTTATAAATGGGTAGTTTATAAACAGTTTATATACAGATGTATTTTAGAATTTTAAGTTATAGTAGTTGTATTTATTGTTTAAATAATATTTGCCAGACTTGTCATTATAGTATGTTTCATTGTGAAGCTATACTTGCAGTAAAATAAAAAAAAATAATAATAATAACAAGGGCCTCTTTTCATTATTTACAAAGTAGCAATAACTAATTATGACACCGTGATTACATTTATCTCCCTCTGTAATATATTGGATGAAACATCTCCGCGTGCGAGCTAAATTATGAAGCAAAAACAGTAAATGCACGCAATATGGCCGAATGGCAGTAATGCACGCAGTAAATAACAATATGGCCAAATATGCACAACTAATGTAAATACTAAAAAACTAACTGACGATGTCTGTGTATTAGTTTGTTTCCATTTATCATAACATCTTTGACCATTTCATTATAATATAAATAATATGTAATCAAAATATATACAGATTCTACTATTATTAAATATATAGTGCTGTCAAAGTGCGAGGCTATTTGAATGAAAACAAGCGCAGCCCGGTTTACCTCAGCTCCGATGACGCAAGAAATAGAATGTCTGGAACACATGCAGTACATGACGTAGTGCTTCTCTAGCTCTGAATTTTCTACACGCGCATCATTATTTGTTCAGTTGTAGAGCTGTAAAACATGTCTATGGAGCGAAAACGGAGTTCTCACAGCTATCAGGTGTATGGTTTCCGTACACCCCCAATACCCGGCACGAACGAGGCTGCGTTTCATCCCGTTTGTGTCGGTGAGGGATATGAGAAGAGTAGGAGAGAGGACGAGTGTTTGGATAGGAGGCCAAGCAGGAAACGAAAGATGGAGGAGATTTCTGCTGAAGAGCCTCCAAGAAAGAGAATGAAAGAGTTTTTTAAGGGATGTGAGAGAAAGAGGAAAATAGAGGACGGTCTTGATGAGGGACCAGAGAGAAAAAGAAGAAAATATGAGTATTTAGATAGGAGGCCAAACAGGAAAAGAAAGATGGAGGAGATTTCTGCTGAAGAGCCTCCAAGAAAGAGAATGAAAGAGTTTTTTAAGGGGTGTGAGAGAAAGAGGAAAATAGAGGACGGTCTTGATGAGGGACCAGAGAGAAAAAGAAGAAAATATGAGTATTTAGATAGGAGGCCAAACAGGAAACGAAAGATGGAGGAGATTTCTGCTGAAGAGCCTCCAAGAAAGAGAATGAAACAGCTTTTTAAGGGTTCTGAGAGAAAAATGAATGGGGAAGACAGTTTGTCTTTTTCTAGTTTGCCTATTAGGAGGCTAAGCAGAAAAAGAAAGTGGGAAGAGAGTTCTGCTGAAGAGCCTCCGACAAAGATAAGCAGGACAGAGTATTTTATTAAGGGGTTTAAGAGAAAAAGGAAAATGGAGGATATATTTGAAGAGGGACCCGAGAGAAAAAGGAGAAAATATGAATATTTAGAGTGTTTAAATAGGAGGCAACCCAGAAAAAGAAAGAGGGGTGAGATTTTTGGTGAAGAGCCTCTCAGAAAAAGGAAAGAGGATCACTATTTTGATGGGGGGTTAAAAAGTAAAAGAAAAAGGGAAGAGATTTATTTTGAAGAGTCTTCTAGAAAGATAGAGGATGTTGATATGGGGTCAGAGACAAAGAGGAAAAGGGAGGAGGGTTTTGATGAGGGACCAGAAAGAAAAAGGAGAATGTATTTTGATTGGAGGCCGAACAGAACAAGAAAGAGAGAGGAGAGTTTTGTTGAAGAGCCTTTAAGAAAAAGGAGAAAATCAGAGTATTTTGATAGGAGGCCGAACAGAAAAAGGAAGCCGGAAGACAGTTCTGTTGTAGTGTCTCTGAGGAAAAGGAGAAAGGATGAGTATTTTGATAGTGGGCCGAACAGTAAAAGAAAGAAGGAAGAAAGTTCTGCTGAACATCCGGAAATGTGGAGAATGTTGGAGAGCTTTAAAAAGCTGACCACTTTTTACTCCAGTCCAACAATTGAATTAATGGATGTCCAGAGTTCTTCCAGCCATTCTGATTCGGTTCAAGCACACCACAGTCCAACCAGTGATATTCTGAGGCGGTATGAAGTCAGAAGAATTCTCTGTAGGAGAGGATCTGACACCATCTACGAGGGCAGGCGTATGACCGATAACCTCAAGGTGGCAGTGAAAGTTGTAAGAAAGTTTTGGGAGGTGACATGCATAGTGGTAAGTAAACCAAAGCTTCTTTTCCCCCCACACAGTATGGCTTTTCACACTTGTCATTGATAACCTGGGTCATAATCTAAACCATTTAAAGAGAATCCTAGAATTTCACATACATTATAATACACATAACAAATAGTTTCATTGTGGTTTTGATGCATTTATTATATACTGTATGTACAGTGCTCAGCTTATATAAATACACCCTTCACAATCCTCTTTTAAATTCATATTTTTATAGGAAGCTAGACAATATTATATTTGTGCATGTACATTAAATTAGCCAGTACTGAAGTCAAACCTGGAGCTTATCTAACAAAATAACTTATGATAACAATCCAAAATTAGTACACCCAAATTTATGTGTCATAGAAAAGTATTAAATACAAATTAAAAAAAGAGGAAAAATCAAGAGAAGCAAAAAATATTTAAAAATTTTATTAAAATTGGGTTGTAATTTTTGCAAAGTTTTACAAAATTTTATTGTATTATCTTTCAATTTCTAAATATGTTTGGTAACAAAATTGTTATTTTGATAAATATATGTGTTTAATGAATCTGTTTTGTTTAAATGCACCAAAATACATTGCCTATATTCACTGAGAAATGCATAAAATATTCATTTTCAAAATGGGGTGTCCTCAATTATGCTGAGCACTGCAACTCTGAGAAAAAGACTTTAGAAATGTAACTTTGACTATACTGACAGAATTCCTAGATAGAAGTAAACTTGATGTATTTACTGACACAATCATTTTTAGGAAACGCTAACAGTTCACTTATATTTGAATACATTTTTCGTCAATGTGTCGACTTGCATGAGAAAGTTCAATTTAATGTTGATTTATTTTTTTCAAAATTATTCAAATTAAAAGGATAGTTCATCCATCATGCATTCACCATCAGGTGGTTCCAAATCTTTTTGAGTTTCTTTTGTTGAAAGAATACTGAATACTTGTAACCATTGACTTCCATAGTACGAGCAATAAATGCTAAATTGTACTTTTACCTTTAGTTAAAAAGGAGTACAGAATGATGATTAAGCAGTGTGAAAGCCATCTTTTTAAACTGAAAATGTAAATAATTTGGATTAAAATGGACTAACATTTTTTTTTCTTTTCTAGCCTGGTCATCCTGTAGCCCTTCCATTAGAAGTCGGTCTATTAGCCCTTGTTAATAAGAGCCTCAGAGGTCCAAAGACCATTCAGCTGCTGGACTGGCAGGATCTGCCTGATTATTACACCATTATCTTGGAGTGTCCATCACCACGGGTTTGCCGTGAAGCCAACTTGAGTCAACAGAGCAACGGTGAGAAGCTTTTTGTTTTTAATTTCTGTTCAAGAGGTGATTTTTATTTACATATATTAAAATGTACAGTTGATGGCAGAATTATTAACCCCCATTTGATTTTTTTTCTTTTTTAAATATTTCCCAAATGATGTTTAACAGAGCAAGGAAATTTTCACAGTATGTCTGATAATCTTTTTTCTTCTGGAGAAAGTCTTATTTGTTTTATTTTGACTTGGATAAAAGCAGTTTTTAATTTTTGTGATTCGTACCCCACCCATGGGGGAAAACGAACAGAACCCAAAATCATACGAAAAATGTCGACACCTTCATGCATTATATAAAGATGATAAGTTTAATTTAGTCCTTTATCAGATTGTTAATCCATGATGTTGTTTTTTTTTTGTTCAACACAGGAACAATATCAACAATTGCAGGAAAGTCCAACAGCTCTGGGCTGTATGATACCGATCAAAGTGCAACATCAGTATCCAGTTCCAGTACAGATGATGAGCCAGCGAGAAACATGAGGATGACAGCCAATATAGATTTTGTACTTCTCTGGACCCAGAACAGAGAAGACAAACTGCTACAACCGATTAGCGTTGAGATGGTGTCCGCTCAGTCGGTAAAGCAGCCTGCTGTGCCAGTACATCTAAGACCCGCTGGACCTGCTGGAAATGGACAAAACATTTTGAATGGGTTTGAATTAATAAGAATGGTTGTCCATGGAACATTTGGCACCGTCTATGAAGGGAAACGCAGACGAGATGGCCTTAAGGTATGAATATTCATTTCAGGTCCAAGAAATGTCTTTCATCTTGTTTACAATCATATGAAATGTTTTGTTTTGTTGTTCAGGTGGCAGTAAAATTCACCAGAAAACGCAGGAGCATGCAGTACATCAACATTGTAAGCATCTTTTTCAGATATTTACATGTAAATAAAAGAGTTTGTCCAGTATATCAATCCATATTGGGGAAATGAAAATCTAACAATCCTTAAAATGATTTTTCTTCTAGCCTGGACATTTTGCACCCGTTCCATTAGAGGTGGCCAGGTTACTCATGACTAAAAAGGACCCAACAGTTCCACAGAAGTTTAAGCTGCTGGACTGGCAGGACAAGCCCGATTACTACATTATGGTCCTGAAGCGTGCCTCATCGTGGAAAGGTGTGCCACATCATGCCACATGTTATGATAATGTGCAACTGGTTTGTCTTGTGTCTTGAACTAAGAATCATAAGAAACATATTAAAACAAAAATCTAGTTGAATTTTAGGGCAATGATCAAGTTTTTAATCCAGGTCTTTAGTTCAATCTTTGACTCTCAAAAGCATCTGCTAAATGACTAAATCTAAAGAATCAGAAATGATTGAAGTTCTGACAGAGTGCGGGTGAATAATTCCCATTAAACTATACCATCAGCACCAGGGAGTCAGTTGAAAGGCCAGAAATATACTTTAAAAATAAACAATTGACCTAAATATTGAGGAGAGGACTTGGGGAATGTGTCTCTTTTGTAATGTGTTATTTATTAGCATTAGAAAAATGTCCACAGATTTTAAGGTAAATTTGGACCTTTCTGTGTTTCTTTAATGTCTTGTTGTTTAGCTATAATATTGTGTATCATGGATTTTGAATATGTAATGATGCAAATAATGAGATCAAAATGTATTTTTAATGTTTTGGACTGTCAGAATTTTATGCATTAACGTAGACATGAATAAGTAAATAATGATAATTGAGATGGTATTTTCCTGTGTAATGAAATTAATGCTTTTAAATGCTTTTAAAGGTGAAGGAAAATATTTCTTCTTTGGTTAATTACAGTATATTGAAATGAAATGGAGATGGCCGTCTAACTAATGATGTTATGTGATTGACTGTGGGATAAATGGGTGGAGTGAGATTTGATTATTTCCTTTATAAGATTTTTAATCCAGGGCATTGTTTTTTTGTTTTTTGTTCAATACAGATGCAAAATCAACAACTGCACCGCAAGAAAAGAACCTGCTACAACCGATTACTGTTGAGATGGTGTCTGCCTTGTCATCGATGAAACAGTGTACTCTGCCAATATATCAGGGCCCTGCTAGAAATGGACAGAAAAGGTTGAGGGGGTTTGTATTAAAGAGAATGATTGGCCAGGGAGGATTTGGAAGAGTCTATAAAGGGACCCGCATACACGATGGCAGAAAGGTATCATTGCTTTTTCACAGAGCAAAATGTTTTATCTCATTATCCATTTTGATTCCTCTTAGTGCTTCTGATCTTGTTTACAATAAAATAATTTGTTTTGTTGTTCAGGTGGCAGTAAAGTTCATCAAGAAGTGGGCGACCATGCAGTACATCAATATTGTAAGCATATTTTTCAAACATTTACATGTAACTAAATTAAAAGATTGTCCAGTGTATCCACACATGGGAAAGGATCTTCATCTAACAATCCTTAATGACCTTTCTTCTAGCCGAGACATTTTGCACCTGTTCCATTAGAGGTTGCCCTGATGCTCATGGTTAATAAGAGCCCCAGGGTTCCAGAGATCATTCGGCTCCTGGACTGGGAGGACTATCCTGACCACTACATCTTGGTTTTGGAACTTTCCACACCCTGTGAAGATCTGAGCGTCTATGTTAAACGCTCTGGAGGATTCCTCAATGAAACCAAAGCACGGGTTATCATGGGGCAGACGATACGGGCCGCTCAAGTGTGCTGTGCTCGCGGAGTCTTTCACCGTGACATAAAGCTGGAGAACCTGCTGATCAACCCACAAACACTCCGGGTCAAACTGATTGACTTTGGGTGCGGGGACCTCCTGAAGGATTCTGCGTATCATCACTACAGTGGTATGTGTATTATGATGCAAATTTCAAACAGTTTTGAACTTCAATTCTAATGACAAGTGACAGTAAGGGTTAGATCAACCAAAACTGAAAGTTCTGTTAATTACTAGGGCTGTGTGTTTAATCAGAATCGATTCGGAATTTAAAACATATTTGATTAGCTAATCAAGTGATATTGGAGTAATATTGCAGGAATAAATAACAGAAATAATTTTTTTGGGTAAACTAATGCTTTAAAGCATGTTGTAATAACCACAAAACATGCTAATGTATACAGTGAAAACCTGTGGTAGTATTTCAGCATAATCTCTCTTCTCTTCAACATAATCTCTCTTCTCTTCAGGGACGAGACAGTATTCCCCTCCTGAGTTTAACATGATGAGACGGTACCATGGGAAACCTGCCACTGTGTGGTCATTGGGAATCCTGTTATATGTACTGCTGTGTGGACGCCTTCCACGATCCAGGATTTTGCTGCGGATGAATTCAAGCTGTTGGTCCAGTTCTCGCTTGTCACATGGTGAGTTGCCATTCATCACAACAAAAATCAATTATATTTCTGAATCACTCACAAGTTTAAAGCTTACAGCTTCATACAAGGACAACTGTAAGACGTCAAGTTTAAAATTCCTCTTTCTCTCTTTTCTGCAGACTGTTGTGATCTGATGTGCTGCCTCCTGCAACAAGATCCATCTAAGCGGATCAGTTTAGAAGACATCCTGCATCATCCATGGTTTAAGGTATTTTGAAGAAATATTCAAATTTCATCTTTTTTTATGTGTTTGTTTTATAAGTACATAATTCACTCTAACATCAGAATAAATCCAAGTGTAATGTAGACATTAGACCTAATTTCTGTATTTTCTTTTCAGGTCACCAAATGTAGCAGCTTGCCAAAGAGGTAAAATATCACCACAGTTTCATAGTTCCCTCTACACCCAATTATCTGGTGGGATCGACAAGTTTTGGTTTGTCGTTATTTTAATTATTCATTTTATTTAAGATACAGATCAAAGCAAACTATTTCTCACTGTTTAAGGGGCTGACCATTCATTACATCTCGTGTTGACTTTCTTCAGGGTGTATCAAGCATTAAAATAAGGGAATTAGTCCACACCTGCCAAGATTTGTCTGAAGGGTGTAAGGGTGTCTGGATGAGGGAATTACAGGAGTTTTCCTGGAGAAATTACATGGCGGGTCTGAAAAAACGTGAGACTCGCTGGAAAAGGAGTGTTGGCAGGTATGGGTCAGTCCCCTGTGTGATTTGCACCCGACCCATGGGGTAAACGAACAGAACCCAAAATCATGCAAACCAACTAATTATGATTATCTATATTTTATATGATTAGTTATGAGTTAATGCAAATGTCAGAAACAAGAGGCTGATTAACATGTAAATTTGAATACTTTGAACCAGGGCTGTCAACTCACACACATTCAGCATCATACTCATGCAATTGGTAGTATTTTTATGGCAAAAAATGTCCACTTCCTCATGCATCCCCTCACCCTGCCCGCTCTTCAGATATTACAGGGTGTAGACGTATCCCGTCTGAACGGTTGTTGTTCAGGGATACAGCTGCAGCTGGAAATAAACTAGAATTATTTAAATCACTTCTTAAATGACCCATTAATTGTATTTTATTAACACCTACCCTCACAGTAATGTAATTATTTTTGTACAGTAATCATATTGTTCAACTAATATAAATAATTATCGTTAATGTATATTCACAGCTGTATCCTTTCTAGTCTTCACCTGTCTGAACTAACACTATGCTTGATTGTTGTAAACGTTCACCCTGTTTGCTCTGTACCCAGAAATGCTGCACAGCAGAGGAAGATCAGGCCACTACATGAGAACGAGAGGGAAACACCGAAGGGAATCAAAGTAGGATAAGTATCGCTGAATAAGTATCATCTTTTTATCTTCAGCGCTGAAAGCTACTGTTCTTGGATGCAACTCATGGGGCCAACAGGTATGGAGTGAATTTTGTGCCAATATTTTACAAACAAATCCAGCATTTTGCGAAGACTCACTCGACTCGCTAACAAAGCAAAACTCAGTGGTGCTTCACGAATACAATCACATTTCACAGAAAAATACAGCTGTATACCTGTCCATTACGAGTTTGAGGCGGTCGCTGTCCTCTGAGACTCTCTACCCGATTTCCTCAGATGCAATCGGGTGGATTCTCCCACTAGTGCATTCAGGCGGATTTTCTTGCAAATGCGGTTGCGCCATTTCTTTCAACAAGACAGTAGATGGCGCTATGGGTCAGTCTACGTTAATCTCCTAGAGGAAGCCTGAAACCCATGCCTAAACTACAGCTGACTAAAATAAAATGATCGGTGAACAGATGAGTTTCTGTCTTACTGTATCTACTTAACATAATATATCGATCATTTAGACGTTAATGTAAATGGTTAGTATAAAATCAGCAGTTACGAGGCTGTAATATTATCATTATTTCTATATATTCTACATTATTGCGAAAAATTAACCCGCTCTTCTATTAAATGAAATATTATAATGTAGATAGATATGACATATGTTCTTTCGCTTTAAACATAATCACTAATGTAGGACAGTATAACTAATTACTTAATGTGTTTGTGGTTAGATGTAAATGTTTGATTTCCCGATTAAACTCGTCGTGGAGGGCTGATAAAATGTGTTAAAATGTTGCAATAACCTAATTGGCGTAATATAATCTTAATATAATATTCCCAAGATGATTAATATATGATTAAAATAATTATTTAAATAAGAAAAAAAAATCTACCTAACCTTTAGCTACTAATTATGCATAAAAATATGAAGTAAAAATTAAGAATTAGCTTATTAAATGTTTTATTATAATGAAAAATGTATTAGCTGGCGCTTTTAAGTGTAATAATGTTTCAATAAACTGGTGAAAAGGCAGAAACTCACCTGTTTGCTGTAGTGTTTTACGTAATATAATATTAATTTCATATTCCCTAGTTTTAACATATCTATTAATTATTATTTTAGAATTATTAAATTTATTTTTAAAAATGCTAAACTAATAATTGTGTATATAAATATAGACTGAAAATTAAATGTTTTATTACTTTAGCTAAATGTTTTATAATTAGCTGAATCCTAAATAAAAGTTTATTATTATTATTATTATTATTATTGATGTGTTTATTTATTTATTATTATTATTATTATTATTATTATTATTATTATTATTATTATTGATGTGTTTATTATTATTAATATTATTAGTATTATTAGTATTATTATTATTGATGTGTTTATTTATTATTATTATATTATTATTATTATTATTATTATAGTGTTTATTATATTATTATTATTATTATTATTATTATTATTATTATTATTATTATTATTATTATTATTGTATGTATTTTTTATTATTATTATTATTATTATAGTGTTTATTATTATATTATTATAGTTTATTAGTATTATTATTATTATTAGATGTTTTATTTAATTAAAAATGCTGAAGTTTAAGCCCAGGTTTCAGGCTTCCTCTTGGAGACTGACGTAAACTGACCCATAGCGTCATCCGCTGTCCTGAAGGAGGAAAGTGGCGCATCCGCACTCGCGAGAAATCTGTCTGAATGCGCCAGTGAGAAATCCACCTGGATGTGTCTGGAGTGAATCGGGTGAAGAGAATCTCAGAAGAGGGCCACTGTCTCGCATCCGCAACAGACAGGTCGCAGCTGTATGCACTAGATCTGGTGTTTGTTCAGGGGCCAAAATCCAGTAGGGTGGACTGTGTCTGTGAAATGTGGTAATGGATATGTGAAGCGTGTTTACTATTCTACCTTTACAATACATTACTGGGTTTTCACAAGCAAGTCAAGTGATTCTTTTCAAAATACTGGATTTTTTGGCACAAAATTCACTCCATAGTCTTCGCTCATTGACGCGCCTCTTAAAGGGTCATGAAAGCTCCCTACTCTATTATATTACTGATGAGGCGAGACAACGACACAGCTAAAAGCATCACAGCTCCAAGTTCTACATTTACAACACTGAATTTGTTCAATACAAAGCAAATTAAATCAAAATAACTGTTTCTGTCATTTATTGAAAGTGTACATGATAAAGTAATGTCTAATTAAATATATAATATATATATATATATATATATATATATATATATATATATATATATATATTAGATATAAGAATATAAGGAATTCAAGCAAAAAATATATATATATTAATTATAAATGATTATTATACAGTATATAAAGTTTTTCATACATTATTGTTTTATTCTCATTATATACTGTATGTAATAATAATTCAGTTTGATTTAATTCAAGTTTATGTCAAATAATTGAATTCAAGTTTAGCTGATAATGACAAAAGGTGCACATTATTGCTTTACAATCAAATTTAGAAAAGTTATTAGTTACCAAAACTTTATTAGTTACTAATAACTTTAACCAATTTAGTAGCAAGCATTTAACAGTTAAAGTTAACTATGTATAAACACATTTAACCTGCAGTATTAAATAAAAAAATTTATTTTTATATATATTTACTACTATATGTATTAAATAGTAAATATATTAAACAAATACACAAACGATATAAGGATTTTTATTAAATGTTATTGGACAGGAGGCAAGGTTAAAAAAAAGAAAAGAAAAAGAAAAATATATTTAAATGTCATAACTTAATATTATAATAAATAGTTATTACCAAATACAAAAATATGATCATTTAATATTATAATAAACAATATGTAACATATAATATGTAATTATAAGTATAATAAACAATTTATTGTCTATTACAATTGCCTGAAACATAAAGAAATGTTTTAAAAAGGCAATTGGGTGGGAGAGGTGGGCTTTATAATGTCTAGTGTACTTTTATTCAGACATTCTGAGTGTCTCACAGGTGAGTAGGCGTAACAAACCACCTGTAGATAACACACTCTTTCATCTCTGACTCTTTATCCGACACTTGCACCAGTGTTTGCACTTTTGCACCAGACACTTTCTTACAGTCACTCCATATCTTTAAAACACATTGTGCATCTATGAAGTGTGCGTCACAATAATAAGTGAACTTGACTTAAAATAATTGTTAAAATCTCAACCACAATTCTTTAGAGTTTCATGGCTCTTTAAAGGTTTCGTGCTTTGCTTTTAAACAGGTTAATCAGACAATGTGCTTTTGCAAAAGTGTAGTGTGTCAATGTATTGTTACACCTTTTTGTGTCATTTGTGATGTATATTTAACTATTTTATGTGTCTTTATGACACAAAATACATCAAATATTCTAGTGTTACTATATTTTTTATACATATGTTTGTGTTGTTTAAAAGTAAATGTAAAAAGTAAGCTTATCAAATGATGTTCCACACTGGTACTAGTTAAAATGACACTATATTTGTTCAGTACTAGAGCTGTCAAACCATTAATCACTATTAATAGAATCCAAGATAACAGTTTGTATTTGATAATATATTAGCGTATACAGTACACACACACACACAGACACACACACACACACACACACACACACACACACACACACACACACACACACGCACGCACGCGCACACACACACACACACACACACACACACACACACACACACACACAGTTGAAGTCAGAGTTATTCACCTTCCTGTACTTTTTTTTTCTTTGTGTGTCGCAAATGATGTTTAATTAGGAAATGTATTTAAAAATATAAAATAAATATAAGTTTTTTTTTTTCAGAACAAACCATCTTTATACAATGACTTCCCTAATTAACCTAATTAGGCCTTTAAATGTCACTTTAAGCTGGATAGTATCTTGAACAATATCTAGTCAAATATTATTTACTGTCATCATGACAAAGATAAAATAAATCAGTTATGAGAAATGAGTTATCAAAATTAATATTTTTATATATGTGTTAAAAAAACAGAAATTAATGACAAAAATACACAGAAGCGCAATAATTCAGGAGAGCTAATAACTGACTTCAACTAGATACACAGAAATACACAGTACACACACATATATTTCACAAATATGAACTTTTGTTTTGGATACACTAATGGTTTGACAGCACTATTCAGTTCATATATTTCTGTGAAAAACCATAAACAAAAATATAATTGATTTGATATAAAACCATTATAAAGACATAAATAGCAAATAAATACAGTAATATATTATAATTAGATAAATAACTATTATTAAAAGAGATGTAATCATGCTCATAAATGTTTCATATTATTATTCATAATATGAGTAATATAAGCTACAATATGCTTTATTATTATTAATACATAATATTATCATTATTATTATATTATTATATTAATATTATTATAATTTAGTTTTACAAATATTTAAAATATTTTTGGGCGGGAGAGGTGGGCTTTATAATGTCT